CTTGAATAAAGCTGTGCTTCTCTTTCCCAGGAGAGTTTGCTCATTAGGGCAACACAGTCAGAAGACAAGTTGTAAAGCCCTAAAATCCTTACTTGATGAGACGCTTAAAAGGGCTTGCGGTTTTTCATAGTTAGACACACAGTACAGATACCAACAAGATATTCTCAAGAGGTCAAAGCAGCTTTACTGGCAACTTCAGGATATCAAGGAACTTTGGCAAAACGTTTAGGCCGGCATTCAATCAACATAAAACACTTTTCAAAGCATTAACTTGGCCCATTCGACTTTGTGAACTCTAAGCCCATTCAATTTTAAGTTACTCAAAAATTCCAAGAAGAGGGAATTAAAAGAAGAAAGAGAGAAAGGCAGAAATTATATCGAAAAGAACAAACCTAACTACCACTCCTGGTTCCAGCAGTGTTCAGCTCATAAAAATTCAAAGAGGAGACAGGGTCAAGACATGCTTACCTTGTGTCTCAGGTTAAATACCCTTTGGCTTTCCCTTCCCCAGATGGGAGTTTCAGTCATCTGGCCACTCTGGGGCTGAGCTGGGGCTCCAGGGGCAGGGTGTGGAGCATTGCCTGTAATGTGCCAGGGACTGGCGGCCACTCTGGGGTGGGATACAGGCTCTGGGGGGTGGAGTATATGGAGCAATGTTCTGCCTCACCAGAACAAGACCTGACCTGCCTCTTTCCCTCACACAAACTCCTGAAACATTTTGAGCAAGCATTCCTTCCAGTCTGTCACACAAGTGAAGAAGTCTCAGGACAGGAAGGGTATAATTTGTTATCTGTCTCTGTGGAAATAGTGTTTGAGAGGAAGGCTGTAGTAGTATCTGAAGAGTGGAGGCTCTATGGGGGGCTGTGGCTAAGTGTACAATGTTCAAGATACAGTGACCCTTGCTAGCTGGAGGTTAAATCAAAGAAGAAGATGGCCTTAGCCAGCCATACCCAGATGAGATTTGGGGAAAGCAAAAATTTGAGAAGCCAAAGGAAGTCAGTAAAATATGGGGTCTTGAACCTGGGGCTTCTTTGAGAAAACTAGTGAAATTTTTAATGTATGTAGACCTACATGCACAAGCATAGATACATATGAGTATAAAGCAGGAGTGTCCAGACTATTAATTAGAAAAGGAGGTACGATAATGTAGTAGAACATGTTAATTTAATAATGAAGGAGCCTGTTAAATGACTGGTATGGGTGTAAGCATTATTTGGCTCTTTGGTTCAGGCCTGTGGTCCTGGAGTCACAAATCTACCATCAGCTGAATACCTATTTATCTCAGCTGTAAATTCTTAATAAGTAAGGCAGCAATGCTGTGAATACACAAGGATTTTAGCTTAAATGTTTAAGGTTTTCTTTAAAGTCTTGATATAAAAAGTTATAAATAGCAGATCTAAGTAGTGACAATAATACAAGAATGTGAATGTATAGAAGCATAGAAGCTTACTTGTGGTTATAGTTAGAATGTGATATCTATAAAAAAGGAGAATTGAAAGGAAAAAAGGTAAATTTAAGGTAGAAAACATAGAATAGAAAATAGGGAAAATATCCAGTCAGTTAGACTATTAGTTGGGTTTTTTAAATTCTGGACCGATTTCTAAAGAAAACTTATAATTTATTTTATTATAAAATACATTAAATATGCTGAAAAAAACCCAGTAAGTTTCTGGTACTGTCTGTAATGATGAGGATCAGGGAGTTGGATGGCCTGGTTAATATCTTTTGTTTTTATGTTCTACTATTTTATCTTTCATTTTTCCCAGCTTAAATCTGTCAGTGTATTTTGAAAATGCAAACAAAAATGGTATTTGGGAAAAAAACCCTCCAAATGTACAAAAAATCCCCCAAAACAAATAACCCCACAAAAACTTCAAAGCTCTTCAATGTTGTATAAGTGTATGAAAAACAGTGTTTATTTTCAGAATGCAAATCAATTAAGGAAAAGGTTACATCTATTTTGGATAAATTAAATCCAGTGCTGGAAATTTCATAGAGAGAGAAAAGCTCTTTAAACCTTGACCATGTACTACTAGTAGTTTCAGAATACTGAAAACCTCCAAGGTTATGACTGGAAGATAATCTTTGACAATGATTTGGTAGCACCTGGTCATTTAAAACCTCTTTTAAAATTTCATATTTCTTATGAAATACATTACGTTAGGAATATGTGCACCAGTGTTTATCTACAAGACAGATTTTTAAAATACATATCATTGGGTGTTATTCTTGTATCTCTTTGTGACTCACAGAATCACAAAATGGTTGAGGTTGGAAGGGATTTTCATATTGTGTTCATATTGTCCAACAATCCCTGCTCAAGCAAGGTCTCTGGAGCCAATTGCCCACAATTATGTCCAGATAGCTTTTGAGTATCTCCAAGGATGGAGATTCTATAACCTCTCTGGACAACCTTACAGTGCTTGGTCACCTTCACAGTAAAAAAAGCAATTTCTGATGTTCAGAGGAAACCTCCTGGCTTTGCATCTGTCTGGGCCTGTGACCATTGGCCCTGTCATTGTGGAAGACTTATTCTGACCTCTTTGGACCCTCCTTTCAGGTATTTATATACATTAGTGATATATCCTGCCCTGCCCTTTCTCTTCTGTTGCTCTCCTCCATTCCCTTTGTCATCTTCCATGGCCCTTTGTTAGACACTCTCCAGTATGTTCATGTCTGTCTTGTACTGAGTAACCCAGAACTGTACACACCACTCCAGGTGTGGCTCATCACTGTTGAGCAGAGAGGAAGAATAATTTCCTTTGACCTGCTTATAATTCTTTGCCTGATCCAGACCAGATACCATCAACCTTTTTACTGGCTTATGTTCAACATCATGTACTTCTGGACCCCCAGCTCCTTTCATGCAAAGCTTCTCACCAGCTGGGAGAACATCAACATAGAGTGATGCCTGGGTTTGTTCTTCCCCAGATGCATGATTTTGCTTCTTGGAATTTCTGAGGTTCTAGTGTGCCGATTTCTCCAGCCTGTTGAGGTCCCTCTGGATTGGCACCATGACTGTCTGCTGCCCTGTTTGGTGTCAGCTGCAGACTTGCTGACGGTACACTGTACCCCATCATCCAGATCATTAATGAAGATGTTAAACAGGATTGGACCTAGTATTGACCTCTGAGGTAGATTGCTAATTACTGGCCTTAGACTTTGTACCACAGATCACTGCATTTGGGGCTTGGCTATTCTGCCACTTGTCAACTCACCTTACTGACTGCTTGTCGAGTCTACACATCTTGTCTATATCTTGTCCTCTAACGAGATCTTAACGAGACAATGCTATGGGCTTTATTGAAGTCCATGCAGAAAACATCCAATACTGTCCCCTCATCTACCAGGCCAATCATTTTGTCATAGAACTTTATCATGCTTTGGCCAAGCATGGCTTCCTGTTACTGAAGCCATGCTGAGTGCTCCTGATGAATTCTTTGTAGGCACCTGGAAATGCCTCTGTTACCTTCCTTGGGGCAGGAGTGAGGTTGACAAGACTCTGCTTCCTTGAGTCCTCTCCTCCTTGCCCTTTTTGAAAATAGGAGTGACATTTGCTTTCTTCTTGCCTTTGGACTCTTCTCCCAGTTGCCATGATTGATCAAAAATTATTGAGTGGCCTTGCATTGACATCTGCCAGCTCCCTCCCCACTGGCAGGTGCATCCCATGAAAGCCCAAGGATTTCAGTATGTTGAGTTTGCTTAGTTATTCTCAGACCTGATCCTCTTCCATCTAGATTACGTCTTCCTTGCTCCTGGTCTCTGGTGCCTGGGATTCCTGAAGGTTGGTCTTGACAGTAAATACTGAGTTTAAGAAGACATTAATTATCTCAACGTTTTCCATATCTATGTTACCAGGTCCCCCATCTTGCTGAGCAATGGGCTCATGTTTTTTCTAGTCTTCCATTTATCACTTGTGTACTTACAGAAGCCCTTCTTGTTGTCTTTGACATCCCTGGCCAAATTAGATGCATTTGAGTTTTAGCTTCCTTAACTTTTTCCATGCTCAGAAGTTATTTTTGTGTCCCTCTGAGGTTACTCATCCATACTTCTGTATGCTTCGTTTTGTGTTTGAGTTTGGCTAGGATCTTCTAGTTCATGCATGCAGGCCTTCTGCCATTTTTTTTTTCAGCTCTCTTGAGATTAGCAGAGGTGATACTTGAATATTAGTCAAATTTCTTGTGTCCCATTACCTAGGGCCTTATCCTGTGGGACTCTTCCAAGCAGATATTTGAAGAGGCAAAATCTGCTCTTCTGAAGCCTGGGGCTGTGATCTTGCTTTTTACCCTCCTTTGTGCTCTCAGGATCTGGAACTCCACTATCTCATGCTTGTATCACAGGGAAAGGAATCATCAGTACATTTCAGGAACTCAGATTTCTTGAATCACTGATAAAAGTGATATCAACCCCATATACTGGTTTGTCCTTGACAAAACTGGGGCCGTATCCTATTGCTCTAAGATTTATGAGTGAGCTTTGTACCAGCCTTTCTTAATGAGCTTCTCTTGTTCTTTACGTTTTTAAAAGCCATCATTTTGCTTATAATATATGTACTAACTAACTGTATTTTTATTCATACTGTATTGGTGTTTCCAAATAAGTAAAGGCTGTAAAAGATATATTAGTGTTCAATTGATATAATTCTTTGAACAAAGAGGAGAAATTATTTTCTATACAGCTGATCAAGTGTTATGCATTCTCCTTAAGAAGAGATGACTTCACAATCAGTATAAAAATGCATTGATGACAAAAGAAACCGTATTTTACACATTATATGTGCATTTGTATAAAATACAAGTACCACTAGATGTTGATTTCATCATGTTATATAAAAGAAACTGTATATAACTTGAATTTGACTTTATTATAACATTAGTATTCCCCTACATCTTCTTGAGGGTTTTTTTATGCTTCATATTGGTATATAAGAAGGTGTTGAAGACTGCTGAGTTTTCTGCAGAATTAATCTAAACTTTGATCTCTTTTGTCATACTGTGCAGGAGTTCTGAAGAGAGCTAGTGGGGAGCTTTTAATAGGAGAAACTAGAGCAAATGAAACCAGCGTGCTTCCTGAACAGTTACTTCAGGTAGAAAAGGTGAGTATGAAAGGAGTCTTACACTTTGTATGGGGTTTTCTTTTGTGTGTGTCTCCTGTGTAGGCTTTCAGCATGTTCATTATAAACACCTATTGCCACAGTTTCATTACTTCAGCTTCTGTGATTACTTCTATGTGCGAAGTTTCCGTTTAGATGGAATAAAATTTTATGGCATTCAAAGAAGTGGTTGGTATGTAGTAGTTATTAAGAGAAAAAACATAATTATAAGATACCTCATAACAAAATGAAAAAAAAATTACTTAAGTATGATAGCTTTCTTAGTATTATACATATAATCTCAAAGAACTTTGAAGAAGATTTATGAAGTTCTTAGAATTTCATCATAATGGTTCTTCCTAGACATATAGGTACTCATACAATGTCTAGTTTCTCTGATGCCAAAAGCTACTGTATAATAAACACTGTGTTTTATAGAATGTTCATGCAAGATTGTTTTTATCTGGCTCCCATTTACTACAAAACACATTTTTATTGTTGATTTTGTGGCACATAAATGCTCCAACTGTCTCATACTTTATAGTAGTGGAATTTAATTTCTTAATGGCTTGATTTTAATGCTGAATTTTTTAAAAAATGTACTTTGGATTGATGTGTGAAACTAATATGTATTACAAAGAAGAATATTTTAGGTAGATTGGGATGTACTTGATCCCCATAAAAAAAAAAAAAAAACAAAGAGGAAGTGCAAAAGTGTGTGTCCATGGGGGCTGTCCCTGTACATAGAAGAGCTGGTTGTTGCTAGTGGGGAAAGGGAAAGGAAGGAGGATACAACTTTTAAATTGAAGTAAACTGGAAGGGCTTCACTTTGTAGCTCTTCATTCTCTTCCAATTTAGTAATATAGCTGAATGAATAGTTAGAAATCTGTCTTTTCTATTCTCCTACTGTGCCCTTATGGTGGAGATATTTACTGAACATTATCTCATGTCATTAAAATATATCTCTTACAGTGGTGCAATTCTCAAATGGCCACTTCTGGAAAGGTTTAAGTCTGATATAAGTCATAAGAGCAATGCAAAGTCAGATAAGTCGAAAAGTAATGATGTGTTACTGGGCCTAGTTCGGGCAACTATTACACTTCAGATTACTTCAGTAGTCTCTGTTTAAAGAGGGCAAGGAAATTATGTAAGACACAGTAAAAGCCAGCATTGGCCTAAAACTACAAATCTCTATTTAAACATTTAAATCTTTTTTAAATCCATTTCTAGAGGAGTGAAGTACAGTGTGCCTGTGTTGAAACCAGCTTCTCTTAAGGGTTTCCCATTGAGATTCATGGTTAGTAACTTCCCATTGTTAACTTGCAGTGAAAATTACTATAGGGTATACATTGCTAGATTACTTGTTATACTGTTGAAAATACCTATGAATTCTTTGACTTTTTAAAGTAGAGTCTGTTAAAGATTACAAATTAAGTAAAGATGAAGCATGTTTTTATAAAAGCTGTCTTGTTTAAACAGGAATTCTTTTTTCTGAAAAATTTGACTACATGTTTAGTGTTACTATGCATTTTGTTGAGTGTAAATACTGCTTTTAGTATTATTTCAACACTAGTGGACTATATTTTAAATTCTTTAAATAATTTCAAAATGTGATGGTGTCCTGTAATTTAATTATGGATGTGCATTTAATTTTCAGACTATATTAAAACTCAATAATGGCTTTGGATTGATTTAATTTGAATATGTGTTTCAGCCTATTTTACTGCATTTTGGCTGGAGAAATGCATTTAAAGACCTGTCTTCTTCTGTGGCTCACTGTATAACAATAGCAATTGAGGATTTTTCATCTAAAATTCTTCAACATGAGCAGAAAGAAGAGTTTTCAGCTGCAGGCTGTGCAATGAGTCTTGTAAACAACCAGCAAATGAGGGAGTCCTGCAGAGCAGTCCAACAGGAAGAGCAACCAAAACGAATTGCTAAGGCAGGTATCAAAAGATCTTAAGTTTGAAGAGAGGCAGAATGCCAAGGCTGTTTGCCATCTACACTTTGAAGTACTTACAGTACTATTAATATTCTATATCTTATATAAATGGAATTAAGAAGAAAGTGAGAGGCATTACAATGTGAAGCTGAACAGAGCTTTATAGAATAGCCCATAGTTTGTACTTGAAAGAATTACCTTTTAAACTTCGCTGGCATTTTTTTTTTCAGCCAAAAAGTTCTAAAGCATTCTGATTAGTATCTGCTCTGTTACCAAGTGGTTAGATGGGAAAATGTCAAAAGCTTTGAAATACAGCTATAGAGGGATTTCCTGTATTCATATCATTAGACATGCCATTCAACTAATTGGCATAACCAGTAATAAGGCAAATTTTGAGTTATTTGATTTGGCTGAAAGGTCGTTTATTATTTAAATTCCTTTTCTAAGGAAAGGTATGTTTGAAAGACTTTTTCTAGTAAGATCTGCAGCTATGCTAGCAGATTTGGAAGGCTGTTAATGAATACTTGCTTGAAATAACACATGAGCATTGGGGAGATAATTTTAGGGAGATTAATGTATGACTTTATGAAGAGATGACATGTTTGTTTCCAAATCCAGTGTTAAGAAATGTGTTTGTGTATTTTTCAAAATTCATTAGTTTAGAAAATTAACATTATTTACAAGGAATTAGCCTTGTGCTTTGAATGAATGTTTAGTGACATCAAAACCAAATGAATATATTACTAGCATAAGATGGTTTTAATTTTTCCCCTAGTATAGAATATGCAGCTTTAACCCAGGAAGGAATGAAAGAATATTTCATTTACTTTAAAAAAAGTTACTCCTCTGTTTAAGAGATTAAAATGTTTGTAAAGCTGACTCAATATATTTGTGTTTCATGCCAATTTCATTATTCAATAATCTGACCCTAGTGTGTATAAATTAAGCAGTGCTGTCGGAATACAAATAACTTGGTGCCACATTTATTTCTCTCAGTTTTGTTCTGACATCGTGGAAGAACTCGACACATTGCTTCCATTGGCTCTGGCCTGCAGAGATGATTCTCTTCAGGAAATTAGAGCAAACTTTGTAGAGGCCTGCAGCAAAGTGGCAACGGCTGTTCTGGCAAGACTAGAGGAGAAAAGCAAAGACGTTCCTGTGAAGGCTCCCCTGCAAGACTTGTATGCTTCCCTTTCCACGGCGATATATGTCTTTCAGCATTTTACAATGTATAGCAATTTGATGAGAGAAACAAGCAAAAGGTATGTTCTTTTTACTTAAAATGTTTAATTCAAAAGTAAATAATACGAGACTTCATTCCATTTTGGCAATACAGTGTGGTAGTAGTTTTCCAAATTGCATCATATTTTTTAGCACATGCAGTATGTGTACTGTTTTAGGGAAATACCTGAATCAACCTGATAATCCACAGCAGCCATTGCAAAACAAATTATTTATGTGTAGGATCTGCATTTGATTTGCATTTTTTTTTTAAATTATTAAATTTGAGAAAATAGGATTGTCCAGGGAACTGAATGTACTCTGCTGTCATATAAATAAAGTGCTAGGGCCTTGATTTCCTTTTCTGACCTTTGCTATGCCTAATTTTCATAAGATCTGATTCGGGACATGGCAATTGTAGAGGACAATATAAAAATACATTTCTGTTCTTTTTCCTAACACCATGTGTATACAGACATGTAAAGAAATACATACAATAAAATGCATACAATACATTTTAGTTTTAGAATTTAGTTTATTATTACTTGCAGAGTAAAAATTAAAGCAGACATGAAGTAGGAGTGTAAAGTCAAAGGCAGTGTTTGACCTGGGAGGAAATACAACTGCACTTGCTTTGAGGAGATTTTGTCTTAAGGTGCTAGGAGTCTATTGGTCCACGTGTTTCCGGCCATGTGCAATTTAAAAGTAGAAACAGTGGTTTTGGAGACGAACCCTGAAGTAGCACAATTTCTAAGAAATATGTGATTTCTAAGTGGTTATATGCACTGTTGAGCTGATTTCCCTCTGATGTTTTACTGTCTCCTGCATGAAGTGTATCTCTGTCTGGCCTAAAATACTTCTCAATAATTCTGCTTAGATGTATTATCTAAGAGTTTTAGTACATACCCACCAAAAGCAATCTCTGTCCTCTGTGCTTATGTATTTTTTGTCATACTCAGTGCTAATGTAATAATTGCTGATGCAAGAATACTGCAATTAAAAACTCCAAATAAGTGAATGTCGAATGTACCTATCTCAGAAAATAGGATGAAGTAATTTATTTCTCAGTGATTGGTTAAATGAGAATTTATAGACAAGCAGACATATTTTGAGAACTTTTGAGACAAAAAGTTGCAAAACTGAATGCTAGGTTCAGGACCAAGAGGAAATGAATGATTGATACCTACTAATAAATACTATTTACAGTCCTAGGAATTGTTACCTCCTAATGCTCAGCCTTTCGTTCATTGTGTTTTTAATGATTCTCTCTGAACAGACCCCTGTTCCTAGTGCCTATCCAAAAATGTCAAGAATTCATCAACATTCTCCAGTGTCAAGTTACGAACTACTGCATCAGAGTTTGTGCTACAAGCATTTTACAGGATGCTGAGAGCCACTGCTGGGATGACTACAAAGCTTTTTATGAGGTGTGAGGTTAAGTTTACTATGGCTCCCTTTTACAAAATGTGTTTTAGTGTTTGCCAGCTCACTGACTAATCAGAAGCATGAGATCAGCATTGTTTTTACATAAGGATTATTGGAATGTACTATTTTGAAATACCTGTTATTGCAGGCAAGTGTCTATTTAGAGATGATGTAGGAAAACATAGTCATTTAAAGATGAGATAGATTGTTACCGTGGCATGTTTATGTCATTTACTTTGTAAAATATTTATTGTGTGTCAAGGCATTTATATAGAACTCAGTAAAGAGCACACAATCACCTTAATCTCTAAGAACTTTACACTTCTTTTAGAAAGTGTGACATATGAAGATCTTTTCCTGGGAAATTTTTCATCTGATTTTTTTACTTTTATTTTCAATTGGTTCCCTTTTTACTTTTTGTGAGTAAAGGGTGAAACAGAAAGGTGGTCAATATAGTTACGTAAAACATTTAGCAAAGGTGGTCAATATAGTTACGTAAAGCATTTAGCAATGTATTTCTGAAATAACCAGTGCCATTTCACCTGCATCTTAAAGTCATGAGTCTGATCTATAACTATAATCCTAATAATTCTATGAAAAAAAAAAAAATTAAGATAATTATTTCATTTATTGGATTTTTTGCCTTCATCCTAGTTAAATACAAACATAGGTTGACATACACTGTTTGAAATTATTTTCACTTAATTGCAGGGTGAAGTATTATATGGGTTTTTAATCAATAATAACTGAGATCTCTTGGAAACAAAGTTTTGTTCTTCCTTGTATAATTTTCTGTGTGAGATAATTAGTGTGTTCAGTTAAGCATTGTCTAAAATTCTTACATGACAGAAAATTTCATCTGTTACATGTAATCTACAGATGCCCTATAAGAAGCTTCTCAGTCAGTGACAAATTCTGTGCATACAGACCATAAAGTAATTTATCAAAATGTCCATCCCTCAAAGACAAGTAAATAAACATTTCAATTTTGTTTGAATGATAGAATATAAGGTAAGATAGGCAGTAGGTTTTGGCAACTGCTGAATCATGATATGATCTTCATTGTCTATGGTGCCTGTGGTGCTGCATCCTGTTTACTGGTGATCCAGTAACTTCACCATGGAGAAACAGTTGTCTGACTGAAAGCATATGGAGTAGCTAAACAGTTTTATCATTACTGAACAGAACTGATGTGTGTAGGAAGGAATGAGGAAAACTGGTGTCTCAGTTCTGTGTGTTTACAGGATTTGAGGTGAAAAGTATGTAATTTTACATCATCACTTCTCTTTTTACTGGACCATGGGAGATGGCCCAAGGGTGGACTGTGATCTGCTCCAAGTTCCTTCAGGAGGCATGGTGCAGAGCAGATGTTACTTCAGTTGATCTCTTGTAGGCATCCTAAATGGAAAAGATTGGATTAAGATCTATTGCTTGTTACAGAGGCAATTCCCTGCTGAAACTTCCAGCAGTGAGAGGTGGCTCCTTTCAACATATGAGCTCAGCAGGAGGAGTGAGCCACTGGGCCAGCTCTTCAGATTATGTTTTTGAATGAAGCTCTTAGTGTAGCCAACATCTGCTGTAGCTGTGGGAACTTATATTTTCTAACAGTCAAAGAATAAAGAATTGTCTGTTCAGAGATAATACTGAGTGCCTTATGTAATAAAACACAGCCGCTTGTTTCCTCCTATATAGACTAAATAAAAGCTCACATCTCTTTTTATTATCAGAAGCCTGCAAAATTAGCAGATGTTTATCAGTGAAATTGTCCAGAAATGGCAACAAATAGAAACACAGGTCAGAAAAGGGGAGTGAATCTCGTTTAAATCTCCAGTGATATTGTTGCTTCTGCAGTGGAGGTACAATACAAAAAAAGGGGAAAAGAGCTATTAATTAAATAAACCAAAGCAGAGAAAGTGAAACAATTTGTGTTTATAATGACAAAGTTAAAAAGTAAAACTTGTCAATAAGCTTGTTTATTTTGTTCTTTGTCATAATTTTTGCCCCTTTTTAATATAAAATGCACTTCAAGTATTGTGTCAGAGGAAAACCGAATAGTGACATCTTCCAATAATCTGCTAATGTTCATGCTAATATATTTTAAAAGAAGCCAGATTATTTTTTATTTTACTGTTAAAGAATGCCTACTAAATTCTAAAAACCTTTTAAAAATTGTGGGGTTATTTTGTATTTCTAATTATGCTAAAATATCAACAAATGCTTAAAATATTTTCAGTTCCTTTGGGATCTTCAGTAGGAACTGAAGATTGAAGTCTCTGTTCTCAAAAACCTTCATGATAATGCTATTTGCTGAATAGGTATTAGTTGAAATATTTAAATGTGAAACGTATTTCCTGGGTACTTTTTAGAATTATTATGGAGTAACTGCTGTGATTCTGACTCCTGTATATTTATTTCTCTGTCTTAATGGGATAGATCTGTTTAGACAATGAAATATTAATGCCAATGATGTTTCCTTGCCAGAAAATGCTTGTTTTCAATACATCCAAATTACAAGAGGAAAAAATATCTTAGTAAAACAATCTGTATATCTCATATTGTCAGTTTAATAGTTCAGTTGTTCCTATCACTTCTCTTCTCTTCTCTTCTTGCATATGTGTATAACCAAGGTTTTGTAGTTGTGGTTATGCATAGCATTTCTGCATCTGGGTAAATACACATGCTTAAGTAATTTAAATCATTATTTTCTTTGCAGACAATGAAACTGCTATATTAACTTTATCTGACTGTTCTGCTGTGGACAGAATACTGTCTATGTTTTTAAACTAAACTTACAACACTATGGGTTTTGAGAATAGGTTAATTGAGGATATAAGGGTTCAAATGCTGTGGTTTTATTTTGTGGCAGCACTGCAATTTTGTGATTGAAATGCAACACGTGTTTCCTTGCAAATAAAGATGTCTCACATCTTTTCAAGGACCATTTTTTGCCATCATATTCCTGGACCTCTTTAGTTATTTCCTTTCAGATTTAAATGATTAGACCTGTAGAAGTTAAACGGACATTTTGGAAATGTGTGTTTTTGTTATGTAATGTGTGGTGGTTTTGATAGGGGGAAAGATGCTCATTCTCTGTCCAGATGTGGCATTACTTCTGCTGTGCTCTTCATCATGATCTATGGACTATTCTACCTCCAAAGACAGCCCAGGAGATTCTTACAGATGTACTAGAGCGATCTTTGGATATTCTGTCCTCCAGATATTGTCAGGTGTGTCCCAGTTACAAAAGAACACCACAAATCAGGTAATGGTTGTATATTTAATACACCGTTTTGATGGATGAAAGAAGTAAATGTTAGCTTTCTTCTTTCACTGCTTTCGTTCAAATTTCCATGTTAATGAACACAGCAGAGGGGATAGACCAAATCTATGCATTTTGATATTTGTTTTAATAAAATTTATTTTCTATATTTAAGTATATTTAGTAGTTATATTGCAAACTGGGCAGAATGGAAGGGCTGTTTCAACTCTGTGAAACTGTTTCATAAACTGCTTGATTGGTTTGAAAGCCTCACAATGAAAGTTCATAGAGGATGCAACCGAAAATGTGGATAGAATTGACAATGTCAGGATTAGAAATCAAGCTGTTGATTCATTAAGAAAATTTAATGAGTTCCAGTAGAATTTGTGTTTTTATATAGCTTTTCAAGTGAAAGAGCTACAAGTTCACATCAAAACATTTGTCAGAATGATGCCAGTGAAGGAGAGAGGAGAAAGAGGCTATTCCTTTTTCTGTCATTTTAGAAAATAAGAAATTGGAAGTTTATCTTGTTGCAATTCTTATGTTTTGCCAGAGAGTACGGTCTTTTTGAGAAATACTAATGCAAGTGTCTTCAAGTGGAGGTTAACCCTACCTTTGTCTTTTTTATCCAATGTCTTGTTTTACTGAATAAACAGGTGTATTTCTCCTAACACAATCATGCAGAATTATAGATTGGGTGAGGTTGGAAGAGACCACAGTGGGTCATCTGGTCCAACCTCCCTGCTCAAGCAGAGTTATCCCCAGAGTACGTAGTGCAAGGCCAAGTCCAGACAGTCCTCTTAGATGTCTCTAGTGAGGGACAATCTCTGTTCCAGTGCTTGGTCACTCACACAGTAAGGAAATTCTTCCTCATATTCAGGTGGAACTTCCTGTGCACAATTTCTGACCATTGCTTTTAGTCCTGTTGCACAGCACCACCCAGAAGAGTTAAAGAGTTTGCAATTTTAGAGGGTTAGAGACACTTACCAAGTCTGTGCTCTGTGTGACCTAAGAGTTATTTGCTGTCATCTCAACTTGTATTATGAAAAGGAGTTTTGTCATGAAAGCTCAAGTAACTTGCACAAGATCACATTATTGAAATGGGTAGGAAAAAACCCAAAATTTTATTCTATGTAACCTATTTTTGCGCTCTGTTCCTGCAATAACTTACTGTAATCAGGCTGTTCTGTATCTTTTGGTACAGAGAGGTTTTCTGAAAACTTGCCTGGAAATTTTTTTGGGGAAAAAGTTCCCTGAAATATGAAAAATGCAATATTACTTAAGTGTCATATTAGTCAATTCTATATGAATTTACTTCAAACTACTGAAGAAGGAGCTTTTTATGTTGTCATTTTGTAGAAAAGTTGTATATTTTTTAGGGTGATTCTTGAATTTTTCACTAAGTGGATTGAACTGTCCAGTCATGAATAAATGAAAAAAAAAAACCCTCAATATAATTCAGTATATTTTTATGACAGAATGTTTACATGTTTTTTTAATATTGTTGTAGTTTGTGAGGGTATCTTTTCTCCCAATGGTTCTTCAAATGGTAGAGAACTGATGTATGATATGGACAAATGTCTTTTTGTGTGTGTTGTCTAGATTTTTCAAAATAACATGATCCTTAAAAATGCATATGATCACATGGCTTTTAGGTACTTAAGTATTTTTTAAAGTCCAGCCTCATACCTCCCATATTTTTTGTGTTCACGTGTTTCCTATGTATTGTATGTCAGCATAGTCCTGTGAGATTATATTGTTGTAGTTTGGGTTCTTGCTGTTGTTTAGGCCAATGACATGTGGCACTCTACCAACCAATATCAACTGGCAATAGATTACTGACTTACAAATGTTCCACGTTGTACAGCGTTGTATGGAGTTAGTTTTGCATATTGAAGATTAAGTTTCTTTGTTCATAATTTTTGCCCCATCAGGATTTGAAAATAGTATGTACATTTTAATTATAAAAAAACAAAATTTATGTTTATTTACTTGTAGTTTAGAAAGTAAATTGTTCATGCCTTTGAGAAAGGACATTTCCAATTTTTTAAGTCTTCTTCTAGTTTCAGTAGCAACTTCTCTGTGAAAGAGTAGATTTTTACAGAGTAGTGGGTGGAGACTGAAGACAGACATCACTGAAGAGGAAATTTAAAGTCCATGCTATGATTTTGGTGTTTTATCCTGTCAGAGAAAATGTCTGTTTAATTGGAATTTACCATCGTCAGGAAGTCTTAAGTAATGTTATTCTTGGGCTTTTTTTGCCTACAGAATTGATATTGGAGCAATTTTGATGTCCACTGAAGATATTCTCTGGTCAATTTGTAGTTCTGTGCAGGAGTTTCTGAATCCACACAAAGACAGAGATCTCAAGATCTATAAAATACATAGCCACTGCAATAGTCTGATCTCTGTGCTGGCTATTTTAACTTCACCATTGAAGACTTTGTATGAGTGAGTATGAAATAAACATTTAATTTGAGATAATGTTGGTTTCTTGAGCTTACATGGATAGATCTACAAAGGTGAATTTTTGTGTTGAAATCAAATGTAATGCATAGTATTGGCACATCTTAATAGTCTTTGACAATTTCTCCGTTTGATCCCATACTTATTTTTGTGATCATGCCTAAAGCCCGATTATATCTGCTGAGATTTTATTAGCTTTGGATCAAAATCCGGTGCTGTACATTTTTTCTATTAATAACGTAGACCATAGTGAATGTCTGGGTTTATTTGTTGTGACAAAATCAGTAGAATTTCATTAATTATTACTGCTCCAAATTTGCAATTTATTTTTCCAGTTAGGACATATTTCTTTTTAAATATGGTTTTATTGATCTGAAAACATTTACTAGTATGGAACCAAATGCTTTGGCAAGGTTTTCAGGGACTTAGTCATTCATCAGTTGAAAAGAAATCATCTCACTAGTTCAGATTTATCTGTTTCAGGCTTCCAGCTAAATTAGAATGTTCTGTTGTCATCTGATAATCTTTCTAGATGTATTGGAATGTAAAGCTAGTTTACTAAAATGATCATCTGGTTACACGACCAGTATGCTGCAACAAATGTAGTTAAAAATATAATATAGAATGCCCATGTTTATAAAATCATGTCTTCATAACTGTAAAAATTGGACATGTAACTTGCACTGAAATTGGGTCTGAGTCTTTTGTTGATAAAATTCATCTGTGATTTTGGTGTATGAGACAATACAAAGTGAGATCACAGATTTAAAAAAGAGGAACAACAAAACCAAAACCCCAAACTGATGAAGCCACATCCTATTCAACTGTCTTTAGCTTCACTACTCAAAATAAGAAAATTAGAAGAGGTACTAGGGTGGAGACCTCCTGCATATAAGCTTCTTTATATAAATTTTTTTGTCACATATGGGCTCATTTTAATATTTGTGGGCTCTAAAGAACATGCAAAAGCAGATTGTAATTGGTTGTTTGATCTTAATATAACACAGGCTTATGAATAGATAGCAATTTATAGGGTGGCTCAGAAACAGATTAGGTAGTCCTGCTATGGCAGTAGAAATGGAGACAGGAAAGGACACTGCAGTAGCTGTAACTGCTTCTACTGTCAGTTTTGACAGCTCATCTTTCTTTTATGAAAGCCCTTAAAATGATAGACCAAAGTAAATATGCAGTATAATTTGTTCCTTTAAGCAACTCTAGTTTCCTCCACTGATCAATGTTGTTTACATATTTATGTATACATAGCATGACAAAAAATGTGTGCTTGTTGGAGAAATCTGGAGTTTCAGAACAAAGTGCCAATGAAAAGCTTGGTTTTTATTTTATGTAAAATTCTGCAGGTTAACAACCTGGTCATATAGCTTTCAGAGTTAGTGATGTAAATTTGAATCCCTGAATTTGCTTACCTGGAGATCAAAACCTTGACATGTGCTGAATGTAACAACTGATTTAATTTACTACAAAGTAGTAAAGTACTGTGCAAATCACCACCAAAATATGGCAGCTTTGTTTAAAGAGAATACAAAAACATTGTCTTATTTTCTTATATAGTTACAAAAAATATGCTAACACTGAACACTATATTTCCATATAGATGATGCATGTTTAACAGTAAGTAAAATCGGATTTTTTTAATGAACTTCTATTCAGAACCTGTGTTTTCACAATGTGAGGCCCCATTATCGAAACAATTTTTTTATATTGTATATTTAATTGCAGCTGATATTTGTCAGATAACTAACCCAGTGTCCGGAGTACAAAGAAGAAAGTGGTTTAGCCGATCAGCTTCTTAAATGACTATATTCAATTGGAAGCAGCTTGATATAGTGAATTTTAGGTAAATTACTGGGGTATGCATAGTTCATTACATTAAGAATCTATCAATAATAAATTCAAAAGTTACGCCTGATTTTAAAGGAATAATAATCTTTCATCAATTCTCTCTGCAATTCACTTGTGTAATCACAATTTCCATCTGTTGTCTTGGCCCTATATCTTTCATATCTTTGGTAAAGTTAACTGGAAGTGAAACCTTTTCTTTTAAACCTATCATTCTGTCTTTTTGTACTGGAAGTTTTCATTAAGTGAGTAGAAGTCAATTATCTTTAGACTTTTCAGGAAAATTCTGTGTAATCAGCAAAATGGCAATGATGAAACATTGTTTTCCATGAGTTGTGTAATAATATGACTGGCTCATTTCCAACTTACTAGAGAGGCTATATCCTCTATTGTTTAAGGGAACTAAAATTATTTAAATTTCTTAATTATTTTGTGGAAGTTGAACAAGACTGTAATGATAGTGAAAAATCAGTAATATCCTTAACTTCAGATAAGGTGATTTGTTTTCTCATAACCAATTTTGTGATCTAGACTTTCTTTTCTGTATGAGAAGGTTACTTAGATCTGGTCCAAAATTCACCTATGAATCTTGGGTCATAGGGTTTGATATTGTTTTTCTATGCTTCAGTTTTCTCCATCATTCTGTGGCTTTCCTGAAGTATCTTTAGCATAATGGAAATGTTGGTTGTAAAGGACTTCTGGAGGTTGTCTAATATAGCCTCCTCCTCAAAGCCAAACAATCACCTACAGCAGTCAAACATGTCTGTGTTTGACTGACTCAGCTGACACATGGCAACCTCCAGGAACTGAAGTTTTACAACTTTTGTGAAGCCTGCTCTGCAGCTGTGATACCATAGTGCAAAATATTGCCTCGTATCTAGTGTGAGCCCTCAAAGCTGCTGGCTATAATTTGCTGTCACATCAGCCCCACTGAGAATAGTTGGTCAGTGTTGTCTTCGTAATTATGAATTGTCTTTGGGTGGTTGTAGGCTGCCTTTACATAAATTGACAGTTTAGCTGCCTCTTCACCAGAGTAAAGGATTCTAGAGCCGTCAAACATTTTTTACAGATTATTCAGTTTAGTCTTCTCTGGTTTCCTCACATTCTCCTTGAACTGTACGCCAAACAGCTGGACAACATTCTAGGTGAGGCTTAAACCGTTGACAAGGAGATTAAGTAAATTATCTTTGTTTTAGTTGCTGTGTTCCTTCCAATACAGCCCAGTGTGCAGTTTGCTTTTTTTCTGGATGGTAATGCACTGTTGCCTTGTCTTCAACACCCTGCTGCCCATAAACCCCAGGTTTGTGGTTCGATAGGGTGGCACTCAGACAAGTCAGTTTCCAACCTAGGTTGTTGTAATTCTAAAGTAAACAGTTGCTTTTTACCTCAGTCAATTTTGTGAATTTCTGTTGGCCCAGTCGTCCATGAGTAGGCACTTGGCTGTTTGTTGTGTCTGCTTCCTCCAGTTTAGTGTCACCTGAAAATCTGCTAAGCAACTGTTCTCTGTCGGCTTGTGTCCATGTTGTTGAGAACCTGTTGAACAAGGAGTCTCTAGAACATGCTCCTCAAATCTACTGAGTGTTGCTATTTCCTTGCTGCTTACTCAAACCTCTGAAATAAGAGGATTTTCATAATTCTGAATTTCCAGTCATCATTGTCTTACTTGCTGACAAGGTTGTTGTCAGTTACTCAGTTCTGGTAGCTGGGGTTTCATGTAGTAGATCGCACAGTTTCAGTGCTGCCTGTGAATGAATACACGTGAGAGTCCAACGCCATTCTTTACTCATAACTTTGTAGAGGAGTAAATTACCTGGGCCTCAAAGTAGAGACTGTCTTCTGCCTCAGGTTCAGGATCACTCAGTTTGGAGCAGATCTATTCTTGTGCCTGTTCTGATATTCTTTAGTCTTTTGTACTGATTAGGGGATGATAGTCTGTAAAGGAAGAATATAAAGAGTAAGGTGGATGCACCTTTTTGTGATCTCATAGTATGAATTGTTATATCTTATTTTCTCAACAAGAAGTCAGGTAAATTATTTAAATGTTTAGAGAAGCATATAAAGAGTGTAGAAAAAGCGCAAAATTGCGCTCTGTTGTTTTAAATTTGATGTTCTTCAGTATTAAAGATTGAGAACATTTCTCTTTAATGTATGAGTTATAACTCATGAAGTTGCTTTTTAGTAATGTTTATTCCTTATACAGAGAGAAATCTTATAAACTACAAAGAAATGCTGTTAGGATGCATCTTGCTGGCATCTCATTTCTTCACACCTGCACTCAGGCTTACAGGATCAATTCTCACGTTGTAATACTCTACTGAAGAATAAAACCGCTATAACTTGAAATCTTGCTTTGGTATTAAATCAGCTATCCAGTGCTTTGGGATAGTAGGCAGCTGGTTTAGCATAATTTGAAGCAAAACCAAATGTCCTACTAACTATTATTATACTTCTGTCAGAAGAGTAGTTGAATTCAACAGTCTGGCACAGAGTTGGGCATTCCTGGCAAGAATCACCTAGCCAGCAGTGGACATTAAGAGATGCTGTCATGAGAATTACTGTATTATCATCAGACACTTGATTTTTTAATAGTATTTGAAGCTATTCTAATATTTAAACAATCTCTAAAACCCTCAGATTATCTCTATCTCACTTTAAAAATTTCTGTAGAGATTTCAGTATAAGCAAATAAATCAGAATCCAAAAATCTGCCCTATGCTTCTCCTTAGGATACAGCTAAGAAGTCATATTTAACAAGCTGCTTTAGTCCGGAATTCTGTCAAACAGTTCCTGCACAACCAATAGATAAGATGTGGTCCTCTTTTTTTTTAATTAGATTGTTAACCAAAATGTATTTATCACACTTTTGTGTAGGATGTTTGCTCTGCACTTTGCTGTATTCAGAAAAAAATATTTCAGTGGATGAGAGACAATAAGATTTGTTTTTTACTTTCATAATATTGAAATTACTGTCCTTAAAATTATTCTTTTCGAGTTTGTATTCTTCTTTTGGCTATATTAGAATCTGAGCTTTGATTTTAATCTTCAGGTTTTCATGAATTCACAAAGAGCACAAACTGACTGTGCTAATCCTTCTGCTCAGATTTTGCTTACTTAAGATCTGTATTAAATCTTTTCTTTTTTTTTTTTTTTTTTTTTTTTTTTTTTTGGTTAGTGAGAGTGGTTTCCAAATAAAACAGCCTATCTTTTGGAGAAGTTCAGAAGCTATACAGCTACCTTTCTTGTTGAAAAAGTATCATTCTCTCTCTTCTTTCATCTGAGTCTTATAGACATTTAGCTATACTTCTGAATTACTTCAGGTGAAAGATTTAAAAATTCACAGTCAAGTAAGATGAAAAGTAAGGTGCTTGTGAAGTGATAATTGTTTATACTATCTAATGGTATAAACATTTTAGTGGAGTATATATAATATACTCCACTAATGGAGGATGCATGTGACAGGTTGGAATTCCTCTCTGCTGGAATTGTAGAGAGAATAAAAAGAGAAGAGGCCACAAGGCATCCATTACTATCATACATTATTGAATCCTATTGGCTGCTAGAAAATTGTACAAATACTAATAATTTATTACTAAACAATAGTTAAAGGCAAATATCTAATTATAGAATCTTGTTCTTACACATATCTGTAATCCTATCATATAATTAATAAAATATTTTTACTATCTGTGGATTTTGCCTGTCATATCATTTGAGTAAGTGAAGTATTGCAAAAGTTACAACTAGTCACAATCTAGTTCTACTCTAGTCCTTTATCTTTGAAAACAACCAGTATTCCATTTCTCTCAAGCCAGTTAAAGTCCAAAGCTTCTGCTTCTGGTTCAAATTTTTGTCCCAAATAATCCAAAGTCTATATATGCTTGCATATCAGTCAATATAATTTCAAAAGATACTTTACGTGTCATTATGATAAAAGTGTTGAAAATACTGTGTATTCTTGTTATGACGGAAGAAAAGAGCTACAGAAATGAATGACTCAAGAAGAGAAATTCGCTTATTGAAAGCATTTTCAAACATTGTTTGAAAATGTATTATATAGGAATAAAAATATGAAGAAAACTTGAATAACAGTTATTAGATATAATTAGTTATTAGATATAATAACTATATTACTGAGTTTCAAAGAGTGAAAGTTAATAAAAATATAGAATTATATTTTTTACAGTACATAGAGTTGCACTTACGTGTTTGCATACATATATTAATAGTATTCATCATAAGGTATTTTCTGTCTTCTGTTCATATATACATACCTAATAGTAGTGATCCAAGGGGATTTTCAGTCTCCCATGTAATTTGGAAGTATTTGGTTTCTTCCAGGACATTTCTGGATAATTCTGATGAACATCTTCCTCAAGATTTTTCAGAAGTCTCTTATCAGCCATTGCGCTGGTTATTTTGCATACCGTCATCCTGTTTTTTCTTTGTAAAGTGAGTATCAAAAGTTGATTGTTGTAAAAGGATCACCACATAGTCAGTATTAGTCAAATATTGTTACATTTTGAAGAGCATATCTGAATAAATGTCTAATTAATATTCTGATTTTTAAAAGCCATAGAAGCATTTGTTAATTAATTACAGATTTCTCTAATCTTTGAGAGTCTGAAGAAAAGTTGCACTGAAAGCACTGTATTTTGCTAATCTATTAATTATGTTTGATATTTGAATTATCTGTAAGGTTTTCGGGCTTTAATTAAGGAGTATATAGTTCTTGATAGTACAGAAGTTCAATACAGTTGCTGTTTTAAAGGACTTATAATTAAAGGGGAGATAAAGAATGTATGCCTTTCTGTTTAGAACTGCTGTTTAAAAATAAATATTTGGTACATAAATAATTAATTTAACAATATGCTGCTTGATTGTAGTTGATTTTTTTTTGAGATTATTGAATGATTAGAAGCAAAAGCTTAACTTTTCTGTGTCATTGCATATAAGAACAAGTGACATAGAAGATAGATGCTACCAGCTGTGCTATTGTTTGCTTTCTAATTTTGCAACTGAAGCACTCCCACACCAGTGTAGATCCTCTCCTAACCCCTTCACCTCCCTCTCCTCCTTTTCAAGGTTATTTCCTGAGAGGTTTTTCACTCTCCATTTTCATGAAAAGCTGCTTTTGTAAGATGTTACTGTGTTTTCCAAGAAAGTATTTTTATCTTTTGGAGGAGTACGTTATCAAATGAATGGTGACCTATGAATGACCCATGTGCTTTGGATTTGCTATCTCTTTCCATGTACACACAGTATCTTTTACCTTGTATATGTAAATATCTTCCCTATAATTTTGCCCCATGCTACACAAAACATGCTGATTTCTCTCCATAGGCTCCACTCCTAATTGCGTGTCATCAATCCTGTTGTCTCCATCCGTAGTGCCTCTGATACCTGCTGAACCAGAGACAATATATGTTGTGACTGCATCAAAATCATGTGGTTTGCTAACTACATGCCAGAGTTTAATAGCTGGTGAATTCAGAATGTGTCCTGGTTGAAATAGTAATTTAAGTTCTTATAAAGTATGAAAGATCATGTGTGTTTATCAAGCTTCAAGGAACTTTGTCAGAGACTTTTTAAGTTATGCGTGGTTGGAGAGGAACGAGAAGGAGGGATACAGTGAAGGAGATGAAAGAATTCCTTTCTGCATTGGAAAGGAATCTAGTCATCCATTTCTGGAAAATTTATGCTCTGTTAAGTATTCATTGTAGAAAAGACAATACATTTTTTGATGCCCTTATGTAAGGCCAGATCTCTAGATTTAAATTACACTGTAAAGTATGAGTTTTGGAAGACGGTTTCACATGTGAGTACTTTATACTGTGTAACAATATGTAAAGGAAATGCTGGTACCATTTCAGTCTGACATAATTATCTTTTCTGAGGTGGAATTAAGATAGATACAAATAAATAGCTGAAGAACTATTCCAGAGCTATGTAGTATGCACTTATTTTCTGTGGAAGAAAGGTACTAAAATAACAACTTCTTGGTCGCCAAACCGGAAAATGAGAAGTACAAAAGAAAGGACATCTCTGAGAAGATACAGTCAGTGTACCTTTGTGAGAAAAGTCCATACATAGAGAGAGCCTTGCAATACTGTCCTGGTGATAATGAGTGAACTATATGGGTAAAATACTTAATGTTACTTTTTAACAACACACCTTTCAGCTGCTCAGGAAAAAAAATAAAGTGAAGGACTCTGTATCTAATGAGTCATTCTGAGGTGTTCTAGTTTTTTCATTGGTCTTATAGTTTATGTGAATGAAACATTTTTTCCTTTCAAATACTGCCTTTGGAACATTATTAAGAAATGTCATATTTAATTATTGCAGAAAATTGTATTTCAGAGCATCCTAATTATTCATGGGTTGTGTTCCGATTTTACGACTTATTATCTAATTAAAATATATGTTCACTGTCTGTAACAAAGTTGGAAGCACAGGTCATTGTATACCTCTCAACTGTGGCCACCTAATTTTTAACTGATGACTCGAACCTGTCATACATTTAGCTATTAAGTATTTTGTCTTCCTAAGCTTGCTATTTCAAAAAAAGTTTTGCTAGTTCCTGGAAGTAATTTATTTACTATGTAACCTGATTTTCTACATTATTTTTCATTGCTGCAAATAGCTACAGTCTGTTTAATTTTCTCAATTTGACTCCAACATCAGTGTCAAGGTTGTTATCATGAATTAGCATATCTACCTGCCTTAAAACATCTTGAACTTAGCACATGAGGTTTTCTTTCTATCTTGAATAGACACCAAAATAATATAGCTGGTTATCAAACTAAAGAATTACTGATAATTTATATTACAGTTCATTTAGTGATAATAATTAACTTAATTATTTATTTAGATATATTTATTTAGTTATGAATTGTGATTAGTACTAATTGTGATTCATTCTTTGCCTCATTTGGGGTTTATAATCTTAGCATTTGCAAATCAAAGTTGGAGTTTTTTCCCTCTACTGTACAAAACAGGACATTTAAATGTGTGATATTTATATGTACTTCACCTTTTGTCTCTTTTTATGAGGCTGGTCTTATTTTCACTAGTACTGAGCTGTGAGGATGAGAGAACATATGTCTCTCCATATGCACATTACAAAACTTCTCAGTGCATTTATTGGTGATAGCTTCATGGCTGTAGGGAATGTCTGCTATATTTTATTTTTCCTCTAAGTGAGTCACACCATTGTACATTTCAATTTGCAAGATGCTTAAATAGCCAAGAACTGGTGTATATTACAACATGATAACTTCCCATCTGGTCAATGACAGACAGGGTTTTTTTTTCAATTCAGATACTCTAAAAATATAATTTTTTTCTACAGGAATTTAAAATATTATTCCTTATAAATCTAATTGACCCAACTTGTCACTTATCTTTTAGTTTGAAGGCAATGACTGACCTTATTAGGTAGGATAACATGACATTAAAAGAAGAGAAAAAAATTAAACTGGCCTGAATATTTTAACTGTATTAGTGGAGAGTTGAGTTTGCTCTCAGCCATAGCATTAATTCTAGTGTGAATATAGTAACCATTTTAATTTTAACTTTAATTACTAATTACTGATTAGATTATATATAAATTATACATGTGTTAGATTATATATATAGGACTAATCTTGAACATACAGAAGGTAGGGTAATTATTTTAAGAATGCAAAATCCTAATGCCTGAATGCAATATATATTTTAAATATGGAAAATTTACTTTGACTGCAATTTCTGTCAAGATTTAAATGTATATGTGTATATATTTTTCATAAATATTACTTGAATTCATTATGTGCTAATATTCAAATATAATTATAGAGTCAGTGCTATGCTGTCGGCAAAATATATAAAGTACCAGATGGAAATCGCAAAAGCTGTACATAAGGTTTCCTGGCACATACATTGCTTATGAAGTTAGAGGTATTTGCTTTAGTGTTAAAAGAGCAAAGGCTGAGGTTCCTTTACTAAAATTACTATTACAGTGGAGTTTTGCCATAATAGTGGGATGTAAGGGCCCTGCTGGAAGATGGTGCTATGGTTTCCTTCGGTGACTTCAAGGCTGCCCTTCAAGATATGTGGCGTACTGCTTTTTCTGGTAATGGAAGCATAGACATGTGAGGGACTAAAGCGAAGTGTATCAGCTGACATTTTCTTTTCCAGGACTTGAAGGTTGTATTGAGTATATTGCATAAATAGCAGCTTTGATTCAACAGTGAAATACTTGTGCAGTTATCTGGTTTTATTTAATGTGTGTATTCAAGCATAGCTGGGAGGTGGCACACTTGGCTGAGTCAGAGGTTGTAAAGGCATGCAGCTTAATGGAGAGGTACCCCTCTGTTAGAACTACTACATGAGCCCATTTTAGTACTGTCCCAAAAGTTATGTGTAAATGGCATGTAAATTGTTTGAGCAGAGGTATATAAATACTTCTCTAGTCTGATAAGAAAATGTCAGATTGAATACCTCCCTGTGAAGAAAGTTTTAACTGAAGGTGTTTTTTGCATACTGGCAGGTAATATTTATGCCTGCCCAGTCAATGCATATGAAGTCCTTAAAATCATGCGTGTAAAATTCATGTGCATAAAAGTTTATCAGGTGTATAAAGTTTCAATGTTATCAAGTATTGTATAAACTTGTAGCCAAAAAAGTAAATACAGTGGCTAAAGATCAGTTGAAATTTCATTTTAAAAGAACCCTCAAATTAATAAAAACTTACACACTAAAGGAAAAAAAATTATCCACAATCTAATTTTGAAAACTTGTTTTTAAAAATGTTTCAAGAAAAAATACTAAATACAATAGGTGATAAACATTTGGCAGGACAGATTTGTTTGTTTGTTTTTCGTTTAACTGTAATGTGAATTCAGTGATTGGTGTTAGGTCAGTGGCTGTGTTCAGAGTAAGCCCTGGAATAGTATTTGGAAACCTCAATTTTTGCAGAACATGGAAATCACAAACAGAAAATAAACTGCAATCTTTTTAAAGCTAATGAATTTGTACTATGCTTTCTCACTTCTCTCTGCTGGTGAAGCAGTAACTCAACCAGTCTAATATTTCTTGTGGATTTTTCAGGACACATAAGAATTGCTCAACCTAAAGTGGAATTTTGCGACCCCTTTGAGCATTTTCACTGCCTTTTACTTAAGGGCTTTATACACTTCATCAAGGAGAGACACTTCAGATCTCTTACTCAACAATTACTGCAATAATAAACTAAAAAATTATACCCTTGCATTTGTTCAATTGCAGGAAAAAAAGTCCTCCTTTTTGCCTGCTAGAACAAAATAAATACTGTTCCATGAAAGAGGTAAACACAGTTGGTTTGTATCAGATTTAACTGTGGCAGACTAACAAATGTAAATTTTCTTTTAACCAGTTGAAATGAAGTGCAATTCTTTCTATGAGCTGCCTTGAAGTAAGGAAGCATGAAAGCATTTTCAGAGTAATCTGGGAGGAGTTGACACTTCAGGGATTTAGTGTTACATCTGCAATTTAAGGGTATTAAATTTATAGATAAATCAATATATATTATTCTTTCTGTCTTTGTCTTGTATTTTGAAAGGACTCCATCAGCCAGAGAAATGGCAGCCCAAGGTCTGCTGAAGCTGCTCTTATCCCAGCCATACTGTAATTTGAACTTGCTTTTGGAAACATTGCTACACCATGATTGTCTCTTAGTGAAAATTTTGCTGAAAAGCTCAAGTAAGTATTGATATTGTCAATCCATACAAGATTATCAGTGAGAAACACAAATTTATTTTTAACTTAAATGCTGGAGGAAGGCTGACAGTCATTTTGAGGGTTAAGTACGCATTTACTTACCAGTAGGATACTTCTCAAATGGGTAAAAAGATTAAAAAATCATCACTTTTTAAGTGAGAATTTACATAATACACTTGACCAGTGTATTAATAATTTCAAAGCAAACTGCAATTTGATAAAATAGGCTGCTATCATAAATGCAAAAGAGTCAAAATGAATTTGAACTTTACGGAGTTTTGTTACCACAACTACTGTACACAGGTTTTTAAAAGTATGGATCTGTTGTCTAAAAGAACACTTTCAAAATTACATTTGAACAGTGGAAAGCTTCTTAGATGTTTTATTGATATTATTATATGCTTATCACTGTAGGCATTCTAGAATTACATATATATGCTTCTGCTTAATTCATTAATGCTGTTTTGAAAGTAGGATAAGTAAAAGAATATTCTACACATTTTTATTTGCATTTTGATGGTATTGGGTTGGAAGCAACAAACTTGCTTTGACTTGCTTTGAAAGATGTGATAACATCTTTCTATTAGTAGTTTGCAGATCAAATGATCATATTGTTGAATAGCTAATGATATAATCACGTTTGACTTAATTTTGCAGCAATATGAGAGTCTTAGTTTCTTTTTCTTTTTATTTTTTTTTTGGCAAACAAATTCTTCCTATTTATCAAAAGACTGTTTGGTCCACATAATATTTTATATATTTATATTTATGTTTATATGTATTTATCTATCTATCTATCTATAACATTATTTAGTTCTGTCATTTTGAAATGGTCTAATATTTGTCAGGAGTACATCTTCCATTGCTGCCATACATCTTATTGAGACCTGCAGTGCATACAGCTGCTTACTGGAAAACATGTCATCTTTTACAAAGGCTGACAAATGTTTGATCAAGGTCATAGTCTTAACCTAGTGTTAACCAGTATTGAGTTTTACTATCTGTTTAAATTATTACAGGTAATAAGTGACAGAATGTATTAGTCTATTGACTGACCAACCTCTTAAGCTTTAGGAAAATCCATGTGACTTTGAATTACAAAATGTCTTATTTACACAGGTTTTATTCGTGTAACTTCAATATTGGAATGAATAAACTTCCAGTTTAGATAAAGTCAATATATGTGATGATCCATATAATCTAAATTAATTTCAGTGGGGTTAAGTGTCTAATGACAAAAAATATGTATTCTTTATTCCTTCTCCTATACAGCTAAGTATAACATAGTTTTTGATCAATTTGCCCTAGTGGTTTAATTTTTTACATTCAGTCTTCCCTTTTCCTTTTAAAAACAGGCCAGAAGGCAAAAAAATCTCAGGTATTAATGAATTTTCCTGTATTGTTTTAACACTTTGGGATGCTCAAAGTAGATGTCATTCAAACACATTCAATTTCATTGTAGTCCCTTTGTTCTCATGGTTGTACCACGGGGAGGGTTCAGTAGGAATGTATATTCCCCACCAAAGTAGGGAATACTGTTGGGAATGCCAAAATTTTTTCAGTAGAAAGAGTATTTGTAGAGAAGCATCAAATCATGTGTGCATGATTCATGTTGCTAAATATTATAAGAAGGATAACATATTTGTAGAAACTATTAAAATTCCATGTATATAATTATATACTATCTGGACAGGAAAATGAAAAAAGTGCACTTTTGTCATTTTTGTGCATTATGATATATGAAATGTACATAAAAACTAAAATATGGAAATATGAAGTTATTGCATCAAAAATACCAAAGGTAATAAATCAGGTTACACAGAACTAAACCATTTATTTGTCCTCAGTGCACATAGCTACTGCATAGAGGCAGTTTTGAAAAAATGGTTGAAATATTTGATTTGCATATTTGACCTCTATAACAAGCTGCAAGTCTAAATAATCTTAGGTGTGTTAAATTACAGTGCCATATAATCTTAGTTTTTTTCTATGGGTCCAACATCCAGCAACTTTTTGTTCAAGACATGTTATTGAGTGTGTAAAGGGTCTAAGGTCTCTGCTGTGGCTTTGCAGAGACCTTAGAGAGAAATAGTGAAGGTAGCTGGTACCATGTTAATTTTCTGACAAAATAAACTATTTTGCAGTTTACTTGGTGGATTTTTTTAAACCATTATTGCCTTATCATTCTTGGATGTGAAATAGAAATGCGTTATTTTGATAAGCAAAAAATAATAGAGGAAAAAAGGAAGTGGTGTCTGTATAAAATAAGCAGCTGAATCCAGCAGATGCTGACATGAAAATGTGAAGGATGTAAGTGAATTCTGAGCTTTTCTGCTAGATTTGCTCTAAATAGATATCATTCCAGTGGAACAGTCTGTGACTTCTATTTTGATAATCATTATTTCCAGTATCAGAAGTTTTTCTTTGCACAATAAAGCAAACAGCTATAGCTTTATTGGATTGCACTGGCCCAACACAGGATTAATATGTGTCAGAGGGGACCCCATCAGACAGTAGACCTAGCCACTTATGAATAGCAGATAAGACAGTGGTCACTAAGAAATTGTAACTGAGAAATTGTTAACAAGGCACATTCTAGACCTTCAGTCAGTGTTTGGGTCTCATACATTTGTTTAGGAAGAGATAGTAGTATCAAGTTGATGATGAACAACAGCAAATGCAATATATTGCTTCTTAATCTTCAAAATAATCTTATTCATTACCATAAAAACTTGAGACTCCAGTTGTTACAGAAATTTAATTTGTCTTTTTACACACAGTCTTAAAGTGAATATTGGCATGTGGAGATAAACTGTAAGAAATCTGCATTCACAGCAGGACCAGGCTCTTGGCAGTTTCACCTAACTGTCACGATGTATAATGTGTCATTTTAAGGTAAATTTTAAGTACTAACTAATTTTTATTCAAACTTAATAAATTACATTTTAGACACATAAAAGTAAATAGCACTGGTTTTTTGTGGGTTACCCTAAAAGTACAGAGAAAAGTGGTCACTTCACCAAGTGACCTCATTGACTGAACTACTAGTGGCAGTAATGAGTTATAACAGAAGAAAATGTACATGCTTTACCTGAATTACCAACTCCATCAAAACTCTGGCATTGTTAAAATCTGTAACAATTTGACACTTTTATTTCAAGTTCTTGAGGGTCATTCTTTCTTCTTATACTTTCATTATACTTTCTTGTACTTCATTGTACTTTCTTCTAATGACTCCTTGGATTTAATAATCCTGTCATGGTCTATCACATAAGTGAAAAAACTGGCAACTGTTCTAGTCCCATGGCTCAACCACACACCATTTTGGGAAACGTAGTCCTGCAGGTTCTGGTCACAAAACTTGGATGTTGATCTGTAACCCTGCCGTTATGAGTTGAACAGAAGTAAATCTCATAGAGTAATTTATATCTTTGTGCAGAGCTAGATCTCTCCTCCTGGTATTTGTGGATAATCCAATATAAGGCTTGTGGGTACCTCTGAAAGTTTTCTTAGCCTCTTCGTGATAGCAGTCTGTGTCCTGGTAGCCTAATGGTTAGAAGATTACTTTAAAAGAGGCACCTCCTCAAAAGCTCCATCTGACCGCTAAGCTTATTGGATTCTGTACCTGCATAACCAATGAAGGATATACTGAAGTGATATACTTGTAGCTGGAAGATAAGTAAAAAAGGGACCTCAATGCAGATATCCCGTTCCATTTGGTGATTTTCTAGTGATAAGATAGAGAAAACATAGGAGCAAAACCTATCTAGGTTTCTGAAAACCTAGATAGGATTTGCTATTTGGACTGTAGTGGACCCCTGCTGTGAATACCTTACCTTTTCTTGACAGAGTGTGAAGATAATGTCTGATAGTAGTTTAGTATCTACCCCAACACATGGAGGAACACAAGGGAGCTAATGTAGCCATAGGACTGTATTCAGTATTGCCTAATCAAATTTTGGCTGTCAGAATGTCATACTTTCTGCATACTATCCCATACAAACAGTATTGGAGGTATTCTGACAATAATGGGTTTGTTCTATTGGCCATAGATAAGATCACTATCTCAGAAATTCATTACTGGAAGCTTCTTCTCACATAGTTGAAAATAAATTGTTTAGGGAGAAAAAACTCCAATGGAGTCGAGTGAAATTAAAATGCTGTGGCATTGATGACATATAAATATATCCCTACAGAAATAGTTTGCTGATACATTAATAATTTATGAACAGATGATATAAGTGTTGTTCAAGCTTTTTTGCCATGTTGAGCCTTATAGTTGTCATAAATTTAGGTTTTATTTGATTCACGGGTAGCAGCTAATTCAGGGCTTATTATTATTTGGAATGTATTGAACTGAAATGGGTAGGTTTAAGATCTGGGTTTTATTCAGGATAGGAGTAATATGACCCTGAGATTAGTTTAGTTGGTTAGAACATGGTTCTGTTAGCAACAAGGTTGTGGTTCAATCCCCATATGGGCCATTAACTTAAGAGTTGGACTTAATGACGCTTGTGGGTCCTTCCGACTCAGAGTATTCTGTGACTCTTCCATGAATCTATAAGGTAAAATTTCTCCTTGGAATTTAAAACTAAAATAATACACTTTCCGTCAAAATGAAGCCATGTTCAAAGTTACAATAGATTTTAGCTGTCACTGGAGACGAGCAACTCTGAAAGAAAAGTAAAATGGTCTACTATGTCACATACAGTAAAGGACCAGAAAAGTCAGTGACAGAAGCACCACTGAGGATGTAGTGTACCGTAGACTGTCTGCTGAAGTATTTGATTCTCTAAACAAATAAAGCATATTCTTTTTGCATTCTTTATATCCTCATCAGTTACTGTGGTTTAAACAAATCTTTAAATTCAATAAAGGAAGCAAAAGTTTCATGCTGCTTGCAAATTAAAGACCAGTATCAGAAATAATTTGGTCCATCTTCAATTCCTCTTCCTAAGTGAAACAGCATGTATGCATTTGAGTTTTGACTACCTCTTTTGGTCAAAAAAGACAGCATAACTATTTGTATCTTGGCAGTTGTGTATGGATTGATTGGGGAGTGTGAGGTCTAGAGTCAGTAACAGGATTTTCTGAATTCAGCAAGATTCATTTTATGGCTAGACTAGTCAGATAAGTGCTGGATGAGTGATAATGTTGGCAAATTACTGGGTGGTATTTCTATCAGTAAGAAAGAAATATGGGTAAATTGCACTTGTAAGTCTGCCTTTCTGAAGTTATGCTTTTAAAATATGTGGTAGCATCCCAAGAGATTTAGTGCATTATTTTGTCATAGGAAGAGTGATTCATTTTGAGTGGTTAGGGCATAGCTGTTATTCAATAGATACATCATTTTCTTATAGAGATATTTATTGAAAAGAATAGTATTCTAATATGTTTTGGTATCTGTTGTGCATATAGAACATCATGGTATATGGAAATAACAAACAGCTGATTTTTTTATTCTAGCAAGGATCTAGATAAATATTAGTCACACTTATGAATGTTAAGTCTTGCTAAAATAATATGGAAGCATCTCCTTTGAGCTACCTATGAGAGCTTTAGGTTCCCTACACAAATTTGCTTTTGCTCTACAAATGCAGTCAGTGAAAGAAATAGAAATGTATAGAGGGAAGCATCACAGGACAGTAAGTATAATACCTATCATATAAATTCTCTTCTATGTAATAATTAACAAGAAGGCTGCATTGGAGTTCAAACTGGTATGAATATTTAATGTTATGACAGGTGAGCTAATAAATGTAAAAGACAAAATCAAGGCAAGAGAAATCTACATATCTTTCTGTAGACACCTACTTCATGATATTTAACCAGCTATACTGATCTGCTAGCTAAACTTTTCAAATTATATTATCCTTTAAGGTCCCTTCTAACCCAAAGGATTCTGTGATTCTATGATCTATGCCCATTTATCAATCAGAAACTGATTTTAACCTGAGCTTTCAGGTTGTTCTTACAACAAGGATAACATTTACTTCAGGGTAAAGCAAGAAAAAGCTGATGAATAATTACATGCCTTGTTATATTTAGTCACAGAATGATTTAGTAGTGGATTTGTGCAGATCTTTGCTTAAAAGCACAAGAGTTGCATTATACAGTAGTTATAACAAGAAGTATTATAGCCCTTTCTATTATAGCCTTTTCTATAAAATCATTTATGTTCCTTTCTCTTTATCTAATTTTTTGGTAGCCCTAATTGATTTGAAAAGTTATTAGTAAGTTGTGAATTAAACTTTCCATGCAGCATGGTCATAAACCAAATTTAGGCTTAATTTCAAGTCATGAGCACCTTTAAACAAACCAATTTCCCATCATGTACTTCAAAGGCAGTTTACATAGTACTTGAAATATTAGCAAAACTCCCCCTAGAATTTGGTTAAATTAATTTCATAAGTAAATACTTACAGTAATAGAATCAAAGTTCACTTCAGATTTTCATTTCACCATTTAACTGCTTTTTCTGCTTTCATGGTTAGTTCTTTGTCATACGTATCCCTGGTTTGAGTGAGTAAGTGGAATCCATTTGGTTCTTCACTTAGAAGTATCTGGAATTGAAAACAATATATGCCAGCTCACTCAGTTCATAGGAAAAAGAAAGCTGATTAAAAACCTGTCTTATTGCAAATCTGTCTGCTGCCTTGGGGAAAAAAACCCACATATTGTTAGTTATTAAATCAGTGATCATGTTTTTCTGCTTTCTACATCCTCTGTTTCTGCTAAGATTGCATGCTACCTAGATTGAATGATTTACAGAAATACATGTATTAGGTTGTAGGAATTCAGAAGAGAGTAAAATGAGATTTTTTTTTTAGTTCTCAAGTAATTCAAAGATGTGTTGAAAGCAATGATTTTCCATTATAGTAGATTTTGAAGACTCCCATATTTCTCCTCCATAGGTTGTTAAAGGTAAAGACAACCAAACTGGCAGAAAGCAATGACATTTCATAGTATAATTTTATCTAAATACTTTTTATAGAAATCACTGTTTTTACAAACTAGAAATTAAGAGTATTTAACAGGTTATGGCTCCGGTTCTTATGGTTGGAAGCATATTTCACAAACAGGTGGGAAGCTCAGGTCTTCAACATTAGCACAAATCAGTTATTGAATTGCATTAATTCCTGGAGTTTTAAACACATCATTATGTGTTATATGTGGGGGATTGTATTTTACTGATTGTCAGAAATATTTGTCAATATTTGTAAAGAAGTTATCACTTAACTCTATGATAATCACTACTTGTCTTTAAATTCTGTATTTTAGCAGAGCTGAGATTTTGTTTTATGGAACTGTTTTATTCTGAGTTTCACCTAACACTGAAAAACAAAGCCAGGACACTTTGGAGAATATGGAGCTGCTACTTTTCTTAGTTTTTATATCTACATAGGATTTTATTGTTTCATATGACTATTATATTAGGAAGAGTTAAGCAGTAATAGATTTTTGACTGTGATTCTGCGATTTAGATCTTAGTCTAATGATTAATCTTCAGTAAATAATAGATTTCCAATTACAATCAATTTCAACTTAATTTTGAATTAAATAGGCATATTCCATAGTTTGAAAACATGCTTAAGTCTCTTTTATTATTGGCTACACATAATTCAGGAAGACAATAAGTGTTATTGTTTGAAATATTAGTCGGATGGACTTTGCAGTTAATTTTGAATAATACTATCCTTTACTGAGACCTTAAATTACTTGGAAATTATTGGAACCATGTTTTTGTTTATTTTGAAGGTAATCAAGCATTAAATTGTGATGAACAAAGTTCTCTCTTGGAACAGGAAAATAACAAAGCGCCTACTCTGATTGAAACAGTCTTCACAGTATTGTCTTACTGCAGTTTATCACCCAAATCTCTTGGCGTTGCTTTTGAGTCCTACATGGAAAAAGAGATGCTGTGGAACTGCTTATACAATATGACAGGTTTTTATTCATTTATTAATTTATTAATAAGCATTTCAAATCTGATGTTAAATGTTGTTCATTTTCAGACATAATAAATCAGGTGAAAGTATGTTAGCTTACTTCAAAATTATGGTGTTGTTGAAGGGTTTTGTGCAGGCAGGCCATGGTAGGAGTGGTTAAAATTTTGAAGAATGCAGAGGTTCCAGAGCAGTTTTTTTGACCAGAAGTCTGATTAAGTATTTGTCTTACCAGCAGACTGGCTGCAGAATATTTTTGTAGGTCTCTGCCGTTAGAGGTTCTTCATCTCTATGCATTCAACAGCTCCAGGCCTTTGCCACAATTTAAAAGTAAGGAAGCATTGAAGGAGAGTGGAAAAAGAGAAGGAAGGACTTTTTCTCGAACTGAGGGAGAAATAATCTGATGAGTATTTAGTCTCTATTGTCAACAGGCATTCAGCCCCTTAATTTTCTGTTGCGGGGGAGAGCTGGCCTCACAATTAGAGCAACTAATTCTATCTGCAAGGAAAAACAGTATTCAACCAGAAAAGAGAGGTTTTAGACGGGTGATTTTGCAAATTATGGATTAAAAGCAGGAGAGCTCAAAAGAAGAGGATGAAAATGGGAGAATGCAGGAGGGGAAATAGAATTATGAGCATCACAAAATAGAAAACAATGATAAAAGTGCTCAGATACTTCTCAGAGAAAAATGTGATGGCAAGAAGTAGAAATTTAACATAAGAGGAAGAAAAACTGTGAAGTGGTGCATGGAAGATCCCAGAAAGACCATGATTAGATCAGCAAAAAGTAGAGGGAAACAAAAGTATGAGCGAAGTATCTAAAGACATAATGTGTCAAAACATCTCTGAAATGCTCTGCAACACTCTGTCTGACAATTGCAGCTTCATGACTATGGAGAAACAGCAGTTTGCTGTGGTATATGAATGTGGAGAAGATTGATACTTGTTGTAATGTCAATAACTGTATTTAGGATTATGTGTTTTGAACATGCAATCTCTGATGACATGCTGTGTTTCAATTGATAACTATTATTTGTATGTATTTTTGTTTCCAAAATACCTTTCTTTTTCTTTACTGTCTGTGGTATAGCAGTTTGTGTATCTAATAAATGCAACTTCATTAATGCTTTCAAGACAAGAAAGTAGAAAAAAAGGTGTATCTGTTTGCCTCACTGATACCTAACATGTACTTAAATGTTTCCCATATAAAAAGGAAGACATCAATCAGGTTAAATATAATTTTTATAAATATATCAGTGGAGAAATGAGAATGAAAGAAATAAATTGATTTTTTGTCAGCACTGTATTAAGATGGTACCAAGATGCAATATGTTTTGCATTATACTCTTTCTTAATTTGTAACAGACAAATAGGTCTAATTTATTATGATATAATATCATTATATCATAATGATATATATTTTCTATCATTAAATGATTAAAATGATAATGATATTTTATATCATTAAAATTATATAACTTTTTTTTTCATAAGAATTCTGAAAACACTTTCTGAAACAGATTTACACAACACTTACTGAATAGTTCATAGTTCTTCCTTCTGAAGTTTCCAGTTGTGGTGAGTCGGAGCCAGAAGTTATCAGATGCTTGAAGTTGACATTGATTAATTCAGTGAAGGGTATAGTGAAACAAATAATTTCTTTGATGCATTCATGGGAAGCAACAGAAAACTATGGAACATACCAGCACAAGCAAATAGTTCCAGAAAGTTTACTGAAAACCGTTCCAAAGGAATGGAATTACACTCCTCGGGAAATGAAGAGAAAAGAATCTGGGAAATGTAAGTGAAATTTATACATAATATTTATATATGTATAATGCATCCTATAAGCTTTTCATAAGAAATTTCAAGTCCTTTACTCCAAAACTGGGCAGTTAAATTTTGTGAGTGTTGTAGCTTTACAATGAACAAGCTATTTCCTAACATCCTGTGGTGGTTGGGGTGTTTTCAACACTTTCCATTAAAATTTAGTTATTCTTTCTTGAGGCTTACACCCATACATATACAAACAAGGTTTTGAAAATAATTAGCATTGTAGTATTGGTAATAATAGTAGTGGAGATGTTTCCAGCATCTGGCAGTAGTCAGATGGGATTCAAAACAAAGTGAAGAATAATGCCTATACTTTGGCCTCAATGGCTGTAAACAGCTTTCCTTTTCGTTATCATCTTTTCATTCGGGACTGTCATTCACCGCAACTTTACAACACATCAATTTATGCTTGAACAAAACAAGCACTGAATGCTGTCGCTTGGTTGTTGAAACAGTAAAGGAAGAAAGAAATCATACAGAAGGTGTTTTGAAGGCGATTAGATGTAATGCTGATTTGTGGTATGTATTTTCATAGCCCACAGTGCCTAAAGCATCTGTCATTTCAGATCGTGGTTCAGAAGGCTAACTTTTGGAAACATTTCATGATAAATTTTTGCCACCAAAATACTACCTGATTATTTTCAGTGCTGTAGTACTGTGGCACAGTTTTGAGTATGTAGATTGTGGCCAAGCCAAGGCATCAATCCATTCTTTTTTTTCATACATCTTCACTGCACTCTCATTTTAATCTAGAGCTTTTGTATAGGTATTTTAGGCTAATTGCTATGTGTGAACTGATATGCAAACTGAGAGGTAAGAGTCTAGGCTTCAAGACAATTTAAATTTGTATGTATGATATATAGAGCAGATGTGGTTTCTTTTTTTTAAAAAAATAAAAACATTTAGAATGCAGGTGCAATTACACAGGGTTTTCTTGAATTGTTTGGAGATTGGTGCTTTTTTAAATCTTGACACCTTTTGCTATATTTTTCATTTTATATACGTTTTGGGTTTTGAGAGGCACAACTTCTCTGTAGTTACTTTTATAGCTAATTTTATTATCTAGGGTCTTTAAAATGCAGTGCTATCTAGTGTAAATGCTTATATGAAAGATAATAAACGGAAGTTTTGTCATTTTGAACATAGAAAGGAATTTATAAAAATCTAGAGATTATAAATGTATGTAATACTCTGATACACAGAGCAATGCTTCAGCTGTGAAGTTGAAAAAATACTACAATTTTGAAGACAACTGTTTACCATTCAGAATACCTGAGTACTGTCTTTCTCAAGAATCCTGTAACGACTGTGCACAGCAGGACTAATTGTTAAGAGAGTCACAGTCTAAATTTTAAATTTTCTGCTTTTAATTAATGTAATTGTTTGAGTTTTGTGGGATTTATGTGCAGATAGCATAATACAAGTGAAACTACAGTGTTGAGTACTTAAGCTTTTTACCCATTTTCAGAACAAAAGAAAGTTAAAAATTATCATACAATATTCAGAAGCAGTTAGAACTATACTGTTAATGTTAATCATATCATCTTTTCTTTCTATTTTTAAGGCTTCACAAGGCTTGCAGCTCAAGCAGTATCTATTGTAATCAGCAAGTTACCTACAGTGATTGCATGTTTGCCTCCCCCAGTTAAATACTTCTTTTTTCTGGCTGAGAGAAAAATGTCAAGAAACTTTGCTGAATTGAAGAAAGCTGGTCTGCTTGTCTGGAGCTTGATTGTAATTATATGTCGGATATTTGAGGATGGAAATACTGCAGAATTTTTAACAGGTGCAACACTTGACAGATGGAGCAAAGAAAAACTCAGTTTAATTCGTGTGTGCTTAGAAAGTATTATGGGAAAACAGAAAAGTGGTCCTAAGCAAGTGACCCAGAAGATTATACAAAGCATTGAGCAGCAAAGACCAAACTGGATTGAAAGCCAGTTGCTGAAGGCAAGAAAATTGAGCATAGATTGGTAAGAACATAGTATTTTTCAAACGCTATTATTTGCTCTTTTATTTTACTGGATTATTGGCATGTTTATGGCTACTGCTCAATTTTAAGGAAAAGAGGTGAGCAGTGATCTTATGTGAAACAGATTAGTCCTTAATATTGATATACCATGGGTTTGTAATTTAAGTTCATTGCTGAAACAATAAAACATGGTTGTTTCATCAGAATGCTGTGTTCGTAGTACTGCAAGATTTCATGTTATCTTGATGAATCAAAAATATGGACAAGTTCATTGTTATATCTTTCAAAATGTGAACAGATAGTCAATATATTTATAATTTCATTTTACTATGGTGATTAAATTAAGAGGAACTGTGAGAAGCTTTTGGTGTTCATCTGTGAATAAAAAGTAAGCGTACTTTATTCTAAAACATATCAAACCCTGAGGCAAATAGGGTATATCAAAACAGGACAAGAATAATATCCTGCTGTGCCTTTCTGAGAAAATACCAATTTTTCCTTCAGATTTGACGTTAAGATCTTTACAGTGATTTTTCAAGGAGTTGTGTACATGTCAGTGTGTTTGTAGTCCAGTCTGTTTTAATGTTGCAGTCATGTATCATTCTGTAAAAATGTACTATTCATCAACTTTGCAATATTAGATTGATTGGAATAACATGACTTACTGAATTAAATTGTAGCTGCTGAAAGTAAGATTGCCAGTTTTTAAAATTAGTGTTCTTGAAGGTTGCAGTTGTTGCTGTCATGTCAGGATTTGTCCCTATAAACAAAGGATATACTGATTGTAGGTTGGAATAAGTGATACCACTGAACAGGTCTTCATGCAGTGCTTTAAGGGGCAGTGTCCTGTGTCTATGAGTAGTCAGTTAATAAATGAGGTAAGCAGTAATAGTGTCACACAAACACTCATTGACACCGACCTTTGTTATCTTTGCATTTTCATTTAATTCTAATTTACGAGATCTAATCCAATGAATAAAAGATTGAAGCCAGATGCCAGTGACTGATGGAGTTGTAGAATAAAAAAAGTATAATGATAATTTGTATATTGATACTTAACACAATGGTCCCACAATACAATTTCTAATGTCGCTGAGAGAATAGGTACTTCTTAAAAATACAAATATAGGAAGACAATATTGTGGATAACCTCTAAAAACTAAAACTTGAGTTAATTTGCACATCTTCAGAAGCTGAGAATTTTAAGATAATATACTACTGTATTTTCTTTTGTAAAATACCACAAAAATGCTGTGTTACATTTAGGTATTAGATTGTGGAAAGTGAACATGGGAAAATGTTTCTGTATGTCTGCAGTGTCAAGCAAAGAGAGAACTAGTTTGTGACTAGGCCTGGTAATTTTAAGCTTAGGAGAATGAAGAATACATTGCCTGCTCTCCAAGTGAGCAGTTACTTGATGCAGTTAGGAAGCTGACTCCCCTGACTTCAGTTGCATTTCTGCAGTAGAAATCTAACAGGAATGTTGTTTTTCCACTTTTCATTCAAATGTTATGAGTCAATATCTGCGGGAAAAAATAGCCAGTTTATAAGTACCTGAGATATGAAATCTAGATATTAATGTTATTATAAATGCAAATTACAAAACTAATATATTAGAGCTGAAATTCAAATATTCAGTTAAAGTAAGTAGTGGCCACATAATTACTAAACCAAAAACAATCTTTCAAGAGGAGATTTATGATTTTCATGAATGAAATTACTATGCTCTAATTGTATGCTATGTACTGTATTGGTGCTATGTAAACATTCAGTAATCAAATGATTTTCTGATTTAGCTGGATGCATGTGCATATATGTATACATATTTATAAATGCTTAGAGACTTTTAATAGATACATAGGAAAGAAAAAAACCCTATAAATTTCAAAAATTTATTTGAGACTCACCTGCACAGCCATAAAAACATTTTTGAAGTGTAGTGGGTTTTTGTAAGTAAAATTCTTGCTTGATTTTGTGTTATGTTACTATTGTCAGAATTGTTATTTACATAAAAAGTTTAAATAATATATATTAATGTAGTTTTACAGAATATTTCAAAAATTATAACCTTCATTGAAAGGTTCAGAAAACAGCAAAGGTTCTTTGCCTGTCTTATGTACTTCCTGAAAGTATTACTATTCATTAAAGTAACCTTCACTTTATGGTAGCACCAGAGCTGTAAACAGTCAAGTTAGATTCTAAAAAACACACATCCTGGGAAGAAAAGAAAAGTCTGTCTTTGCAAAGTAATTTGTCGAATTGAAGATTATTGTTTTTCATCATGGTGACCCTGACCTTGCTGGCTGGGTGCATATACAGATTAAGATGAATGCAGTTACTCCTTGGCTGAGGCCTGCCTCTCTCAGGGCACATTCTTGCTAATGACATGATTGATAGGCAGTCCCAAATCCAGAAAGGAAGTCATTAATCATAGTGCTGCCTGAATCCAATCATCTGCTTCACCTGCGCAGTAACGGGCAGTAAAGAATACAATTTGGGTGCTGACACTGATTCATTCCTTTGTCAGAGGTCCTTAGCTTTTTCAGTGTTGGTTGCTAAGAATTTTGACAAGAAATTCAGGTTGTATCTGTATGTGGCATCAAATATCAGTCTTAAGTGTGCTTTAATTTAAAGATCAATTTCTTTGAAGCTTTTCTGTAAAGTACACCATAATAACATAGTATCACTTACTTACATTCAGCAAAGAACAAAATTATAGTTTATATTTTGAAACTATTTGCTCTGTAGGACATTCTGAAACTGCATGTGGAAGCAATATCAGCTTTAATGTCCAGCAGCTGTGCAGCATTTCAGAGAGCCTGTAGGTCAAACAGCAACTCTCAGAAGGACTGACTTTGTAACCATGGCACCCTTCCAACAGTAAACTGCAACCAGAGTGGTTTTGTTTTCAGGTTTTTGGGATTTTTTTAATGTTTTGGTTTTTTTTTGTTTTACTTCTAAACGAATACAATACTGATTTTTAATTAATTGATAATGCTTCCTTAGTTTATTTTAAATTAATCCAACAGTGTCTGTAGAAAGGACAATATACTCTTGTTAATCTTTGGAGTTCTTGACACATACATGTCAAATACCTGTGCTGCAGCTCTAGTATTTGAGGAAAATTTTAGTACTTCTCCTTTCTTAGACTTCTTGGTAGCAGTACTAAGATAGTAACTTGTGGTTGTATGCAGAGAGTCTGACAATGATCAGAGATTTGAATGCACAATTGTGGAGGCGTTTGGGAATGTCACCTTCATATTTTTGTTGGTAGAAGTTTCACACAAATACAAAAAAAGCCCCAAGGAACGGTATAGGGCAAAAAATGCAACAAGTGGCAAATAGGTACCCTTTAAATGGTTAACAACATACGGTGGAAAGAAAACTACTTCAATTTAAAACTTCTAACCCATACTTAGAGTAATGGCTACCTTTCTGACATGTTAATTAGATTTTAATATGTGCTGTGACAGGCAAAGAAAAATGCATAAGAGATCGAATGTAAATGCCATTTCTAGTACCAAAGATACTTCTCTAGGGGAAACGAAAATATTTGCTACTTCTATATCCTTAAAGAGTGTTTTATGTGTTAATTTTTTCTTATTAAGGTGATCAGAATTAGTATAATACTGTTATTTAACACGTATTGTGTGAGAGATATATGTAAAACAACATATGTCTAAGTCAAGTACTTCCAGGTTTTTTTGAACATGTAGTTCTAGCTGAGTTCATGTTAATATTTTCCTCTTTGTAAATTTAACTTAGGACTGTATCTTTTCTATCTTCTAGTGCCTCAGTCACAGTTAAAAGTGGAACATTAGAGGAAGGTGGTATTGCACTTGGATTCTCTGAGCATAATATAAACATGATGGTCCTGGATATCTGCCACAAACCAGGTGGTAGTGAGTACCTGAGGCAAATTTATCACATCATCCGGCTCAATGAGGTAGGGAAACGGCCTTTCCACAGACCAATTAGGTGTGTACTGGCCTGGGGCAATATCTGCTGGCAGCTAAGGGTTAGTCAAGGAGGTGATAATAGTTCTTAAAGTCACTGTAGAATCCTATATTGTATTTTAATACAATCCGTTCAGTTTAGGCTTTTGTGCATTTCTACAGAAAAGATTACTGTAGATTTTATTTAGGTACTTAGACAGTAGTATGGCTCATAAACTTTCTTCAGTTTCATGCTATAGATCATTGATTCATTTTAGGAGTCTGAGCACAGTAAAAAAAATAATTGAATTGACTGTTACAAAGGTAAAATCACACTTGGTTAATTGACTGTCTTAATTTAAACAAACAAGCAACCCCTATGGCTGTACTGAGGAACTAAATGAAATCTTACTCAATTTAGACAATTCTGTTCATCCACAGTGCTTTTAAAATTACAAGATACAAATTCAGATTTATTTGCTGCATATGGAATTTTGGCAATGTAAAAGAATAATCATGTTATTTCTAAGGCTGTTCTAAATTGCCCCAAGTTACCAAAAGTGTTCTGATTTTATTCACTGAAATAAACATAGGTTTGTTTAAGTTGCACAGTAGCACAACTTAATTTAGAAAGTTCTGGTTTTAGTTTTAATTACTTAATTCCTTGAATGCATAAGCAGGTGCTTAAGACCCTTGCAAGTGTACAGAAGTGTTTATAACAAAATACAAAATAGTGCAAATATAGGCAGAGGCCAGGATTTTTCCTCTGAAAAACTTGATAGTAGAAAACCCTGACTTAGAGAGCTATGTCTGTAGGAAAGCCATAGAGAGCACCTTAGTAGTCACGCTGTACTTCTGAAAATAGGATCCAATTGTTTAGTTCTTAGGCTTAAAACACAATTTTTATGAATCTGTCTTAGAAAGCATCAGAAGCAATGTAAGCATATATGCAGAGATGGCAACCTTACATTAGTACAGTACGGAATCTTTTCAAGTTTCAATTTCCTGAACAATTAACTGGTTTAGGAAGTGAAGTGAAAATTATTACTGTAATAAACAAAACTTCTTCACCTGGAGCACATTCAAGATTACTCTTAGCTATAAAGGAGTGTAGAAAAGACCACCAAAAATAGCATATAGTCCAGTAGTTAGGGCAGTTACCTAGGGGACAGCATATGCAGGCTTATATACTTCCTAGTTTATACCAGGGAATTGAATCTGCATCTCCCACATCTGAACTGATTCCCCAAACCTCCATACTTTACATACTATACTAATTCCCGAAAACTCCATACAGCTATCGGCATGGAACTCCTTCTTTTTCCCCTGTTGGAGTTGTTTTGCCTTGTAGAAGTAGTGGTAAAAATGCATTCTGTAACTTTTAGGGTCAAAAATAGAATGATACTGTAGCTGAAGGAATAAAATACACATCCTGGGTTTTGGAGACCCTGATCTAAGATCTGACTCCTGTGAGTATTCGGTTGTACAAAGTGGAGCAGCTCCAATAGGAGGTATGAGGCTAAGAGAATTAGGGGGAAAAGGGACTTCAGCCTGACTTTCCACATCCCAGGTGTCTCTCCTTGAATTTCTGCAGCTAGTAAAACCTTTTAAAAATTTTTAAAAATAGAATGTTTCTCAGTGGAAAAAACTGTGTTGTTTTAAAAATGAAGAAGAGAGGTCCTGACCAGCTTGAGTTACAGAAGGATTTAACTGTATTACTTTCTAATGCCTTTGAAACCATTACAAAACATTTTAATGCTTAGCATGGTATTATGATTATGTACTTTCAATATTATTTTTCAAAACCTAAATTATGTTTTATGTGCCTGCTTACCAAGAAATAGATTTGATTGTGTATTCAAAGGTCCATTCTCTGTTTAAAGACTCTGTAGAATGTCAAAGGATTCTGTTCTTAAAATAAGTTTAGAGATCTTTATGCTACACTGCTTGGTAATCATGTGTAAAAACAAAATGATGGGGCAGAAGATTGTTGTTTTTAGTAATATTCTTTAGAAAAGCAGATGAAAAGGGATATGGATTCTTTGAAGCTGGATTTGAACATATAGATATGATTTTATAAAAAATTTTTACAGTTACTGTGGTACTCAGAACAGCTTACAGCCCTTCATGTGTTTGCCAAAAATAATAATAATTTTTAAAATAATTTTTTAGTAATGACAACCAAAGAGATAATTCTTCTGAACTGTCGGGCTCAATAATATTCTGTATACTTGGTTTGATGCCCAGTGTACTGAGGATATTGTTCATATGTTTACAGACGTGATTTCATATTTTCACATTTTTGAATCATGACCCTTTCAGAGCCTACGATATTTACTGTACTAAAGGGCATCTTAATGTAATATATTTACCATTGTTGAATAAGTCTCTTCATCAAAACCACTCTATAGTATTTTATTAAAGATAGTACAATAACTTTACAGTATTCAGCTGTATACCACTTGAATTTTTCAAACTCTGGTAAGCAGGTGTTACCAAAATTGGTCAAAATCTCCTTTCTAACACCACGGTAGCATTAAGAAGCAGGCATTCTTTATTACAGCACCAGATGCTGCAGGGATATCTCTACCAGAATTGTGCATGTCAAGTACAGAAAAGCTTCTGCTTTATATACTGTATTTTAGAGACATATTCATTGATTTTCCCAGAACGAACCATACATATAATAATAATAATAATAATTTCCTGGAGACCCGCAACATGCCCTCCCCGCTTTTGCGCATGCGTTCTTCTGTCCCGGGGGTCCCTCTAGTGGTCTCTGGTGGTCCCAGACCCCAAAGTTACCCGGTCAGTGAACTGGTGTTTCTTTCCAAAAAGGGAGCTGAGATGGCATACTCAGGCTGGTTCATTATTTTGTTAATGGCCAGCATGATCCTACAGAATACATATTGTGCCGTTCTGTAGACTACTGGTTTTGCAAAATAAGCATTGTGTTTTCCCACCAGCTGAGCAAATAGTTCTTCATCTGGCAACACATGGACAGCTATTTCCAGTATTGCTTCTGAAAAAGCAACACAATCTGCTTCTGCTGGCTCTGTTACATCCAGAGGGCTGGGTTGCTTTAGTCTACAGATTTTGTAAAAATATCTACATGGAAGGCAGTACATTTATGAAAATTTGGTAGATGTACAGAAATAGCTTTTTAATAACTTCCTTCACCATGGCTCTGAAATCTTTGTTATGGCATAAAGTAGTGAATGAATAAATGAATGGGGAAATAAAAATCCAGATATTTTTGAAAAGGTGAGTAAAAATAGCTAAAAGAGGGTATGTTTTCACAGTTGCTTTTTGATATTGTTTTAAGCAGAAAAAAAGCACAATTTGTTTTTCTTCTTTTGGTTGGTTGGGGTTTTTTTCCATACACTAAGACAATTTTGTTATTCTCTTGGTCGGACATGACATTTGATTGCAACCAGCAGAGAGACAGTCCTTCTCTTTCTCTTGCCCTTGTGCTTTTCCACTCCTAGGCCCCCCCTTTGTACTATTACTAGAAATCATGTGGCTTGTTTATCTGGATGAAAACTTTTTTTTTCCCTGACTGATTTCACAACATATGCTAGTGCCAACACAAGGGAGAAACAGCTACAATCTGTGTGGCCTGAAACTGAATTTATGCCTTTCAGGTGAGGCCATAATTGGGTAAGTTTAAACAAATGATGAAATTCTTCTTTTAGAAAGAACTACGAGAGGCACAGGATGCCTTGGCAGGTAGTTTGCCTGTTATTCCATCTCAGTACTACTGCAAATAAGAGGAGCATTTGCATTCACCCATCCTACATGACTCACCTTGAGTATTTGCTCCATGTAATGGACTTCATTTTAATAACAACAAACTGTTTAATCACAGTAGTTATTCCAGCAAATGGATGTTTAAATGTTTTATTATCTAGTTCTTCATAACATGGTTCTATTTAATCAAAACACTTTATTGGCCTGCAATGATGATTTATTTACATAGTAGTCGAAGAAGTGAAAACAGAAAAGATGGTGTCCAAAATAATAATGCATCTGTTACACTATAGTTTCTAAAATTGCAATGCAAATCATACTGCTTCTAGTCCTTGAATGTTTAAGCAGCTAAAAATAGCTTTCAAGAGTGGGAGAATATTTATTTCCTGTGTTCAAATAACATGGTTACAACATGTTAAGCAAAGAATTGATTTATAGTCAATATAGTAATGGTTGATTGTTTTCCAAAAAGTTTAATTCAAAAGACATGAAAAATACTTGTTGGTCACTTCTATATATACCTAGCATATATATATATATATATATATATATATATATATATATAAGATCGGAATTTTCTTCAAATAATTTTTTATCTGAAAAGTCCCATAAAAATTTTTATTTGCAGATAATTGAAAATTCACATTTGCTATGTGCGTTTAAAATACTGTCTCATCATCTCCTGTGGGGAAGATCAGCACAGCACTCCCATGCATTTTATATTTTATATATATATACACACGCATATATTGAATGAGAACTTATACATGTAATTTGACAAGAATTTTAAAGCAATAGGTTAGATTGTTCTGTTTTGCTCAAGCTGGGTGCATGTTTTCTGGGGTTATTTCTTGTTCATTGTAAAATGGCAGTAGTCTTAAAAAGGTTTCTATTTTTTAAGAGTTTTTTAATTCCCTACTGTATTAAAAGGAACTTCTATCTTTCAAGCTTATGCTTGAAATCTAGGCAAATTTCATGTAGAAAGCTAGGTGACCTGTACTATTCTGTGGTTGCTTTTTCTTCCAAAAGGAATATTTGAAAGAGCAGCTGTCTTGTGAGAATGCCTCTGAAGATGGTATTACCTCGAGTCAATGTCCGCCTTTGACGCTGAAGGGCAGACAAGAACAGCCTGTCTTCAACCCTTTCCAGGTGTACAGACAATCTTATGCAAAAGTATTCAATCAGGTTTGTGAAAATCTGAAACCTTGGTTATAGTATAATTTTTACTTGTTGGTATTATTATGATCATGATAATAACACAAACTAAATGTATGAAAATGGACTTATTTATGTGTGTTCACATCTAATTAAGCAGAAAGGAATGTTATTTTGTGGGAGTGTAATGAGGGTACCCTCTACAATATCACGATGTTCAAAAAGACATTATTGGCCTTTTCTTTGATTGGAATTATTGCATGCAAGAGCAATTTGCATTTACTTACACTTTCTGTGTTCAGTATACTGAGGGAAAGCCCATAATAGCAATGACTTTTATTACATCTGTACAACAGTACATAGGGTTAATCTTAGTCCTTTGAAAAATCTTATCAGAACTCTATGTTCACATTTATAATCTTCCTCATGGGTCTTTCATAGATATGTTGAACAGTCAAGTAAAGAATGCTTTAGAAATACAAAGATTTTACAGAACAGTGAGACTAAGTGGGTTAAAACACACACACACACATGCACACACAAAAGCATAAATTTTTCTGTTTTTCTTTAAGTCATGCCTATAATTTGTAAAGGATTACAATTTTCTTATAGAATTTAGTTTCATGATAATGGAACAGTTGAAGAAAAGAGATCTAGTTGCCTAAATCTCTGCTGGAGCACTCCATGACCACATCATTACACAAAATGCTAAATAGTTTCTGATAACACTTTTATACTGAAAAAATCTCATGCCATTGTTTCTCATATATTCTTAATATATCATCAGCATTTTTGATCCTAGCAGTCAATTCAAATATTTGAAAAGATGTGGTACTGCAAGTGACACAAAATTCGCTTGTAAGTTACTTGTGTGGAAATGCATCCTTTTTCAGTGCAGCCCTGCTTATATGCAGTGTAATCTCTCCAGTTTTGACTATTTTGGTCTATTTCATCAGTTATATTGCTGTAAAATATACTTGTTTTTCTTACTTGTTTAATGAATACTTAATCATTGTCATGTTGCAATAAAAGTGTTAAATCCTGAAAAAGGAGACTATATGTATACCAATATATATATACACCAATTCTACAAGGCTGCTCAAGGCTTCTCACTCCAGAGAACTGTGCTTTATAGAATCTTTGAATTAGTAGAATCTAGTGATTTGAAAGGGACCTTCCACTCAAGAATCACAGAACCACTGAATGGGTGAGACTGGAAGGGACCACAGTGGGTCATCTGGTCCAACCTCTCTGCTCAAGCAGGGTCCTAGAGCACATGGGCAGAGAATTTTTCCAGATGGTTCTTGAGTATCTCCAGTGAGGGAGACTCATCAGCCTCTTTGGGGAGTCTGTTCCAATGCTCAGTCAGCCAGGCAGTAAGGAAGTTCTTCTTCATATTCAGCCCAGAAAGCCAACTGTGTGATGAGCTGCATCAAAAGGAACGTGACCAGCAGGCCAAGGGAGTTGGTTCTGCTCCTCTACTCCATTCTGGTGAGACCCCACCTGCAGTGCTGCATCCAGTTCTGGGGTCCCCAGCACGGGAAGGACATGGAGCTGTTGGAGCCAGTCCAGAGGAGGAACAGCAAAATCACTAGAGGGATGGAGCACTTCTCCAATGAAGAAAGGCCGAGAGAATTGCAGTTTTTTGGCCTGGAAAAGAGATGGCTTTGGTGTGACCTAATTGCAGCCTTGCAGTACTTGCAGGAAGCTTACAAGAAAGATGGAGAAGGACATTTTAGATGAGCATGTAGTGACAGGACAAAAGGGAATGTATTCAAACTGACAGAGAGTAGCTTTAGATTAGATATTAGAAAGAAATCATTTCCTGTGAGGGTGGCGAGGCAGTGGAATAGGTTGCCCAGAGAAGCTGTGGTTGCCCCATCTGTTTTACATGTTCCAGGCTAGGCTGGGCAGAGCTCTGAGAAACCTGGTCTAGTGAAAGATGTACCTGGCCCATGGCAAGGGGTTGGAACACAGTGATCCCTTCAAACCTCAGTCATTCTATAATTCTCTCCTCTGATTCTATTTCCAAGCTTAATGATGTTATTAAATTGTTCAGTTCCCTTTACCATTAAATTGTTCATTTATTTAGTGGTGTGGGACTGTCCATTTATAAAACTGATAAGTATAGCTGAATGTCTGGTTTCCAATGAAAATTATTGCCAGTGCCTGTAGAAGATGCCAGAGCACTGACGACGAACCTTTTCTTATTCATTCACTTTCTGCTTTCTCAGTATTTTATTTTTTCTTGTTACCTTTATTTCCTCTTTGTACTCTGTATTTCACCTTTGTTTTTCTACTTTACTTTAACATGCATGTCAAAGATTAGGGGTAGGGAGTAAATTAAGTAAGGAGAAGGAAAGTAATAAAATATAGATGGAAGGAATAGGAGGGATTGCAATGACTCTGCCCTCCCAGAGGAACCAAGTGCTGACTGTAAGAAGAAAAAGATGCACTTCAAGTTATACTTTACTATTATTTAGGTTTATTTCCATTGTTTTGACTTGCTTAAACATTTTTTTACTACTCAGTGCTATTTCAGTGTTACAACAATAACTTTGTACTTATTTCCTCCCAAGAAGATTAAATTATAGTCACTACTTGACGACTGCTGACAATGATAAGGAATATTATGCAATAGGATTTACTGTTTTTTAAAAATAAGAATGTTGTGTATGGTCTTTTGTCTGCCCACTGATGATGTAGATTGCTTTTGTTTATTAAATAAGCAATATGGAGTTATACTTGTTCATATTTTCTAGATTTAAAGCTGTTTATAATACAGCATTAAATCACTCTAATTATGATACAGGTTACTTCTTGAATTCCAGCTATACCACATTTTTCATGACATAATTTTTTGCTGACAGCAGAAAATGCAAATTGCTTTTACATAAAAAGTTACCAACTATTTGCTTTTTGGACAAAGAGTAAAACTCGCAGACAAAGTAGCTGATCAGAATGCTATCAACAATTGGAAGAATAATGGTTCAAAAAACAGATTTATTTTTTTATAAACAATGGCTATGTCTGTAATTAATTAATTGCCATTTGATTGGAATAAAAACCTTCTTCTGTGTACATGATTGATATCATCTTTCTAAGTCCTCATTCTAGACCCCCCTCTTTGGTTAGTATATAGCAGCTGGAGCTTTAATGTACTGATCATATTAATGCTGATTCATAACTAACTAGCTTCTTTCCATGTATCAACAGTCAGCCATTACTGAATGGAACTGGGATTGGTCAAGCTTGCTGTCAGGTTACTTGGGACGGAATCAGATGGCCTTCAGGATGCTGCTGACACACAGGTAAAGGAATTTTGGCAAATCATCACATTTTCCTTTTGTATTTTTGACTTTGTAGTAGTGAATACACAAAGATTTTAGTGGTGAAATTTGTAAAGCAAATTCGGCATTTCTTTTTAAATACATAGTTTTAAAATGTAGCAACATTTTTTTCTGTAGTATTTGATCCATACTCAGCTGTCTTTCAATGTCTGTTTTGAGGTGTATAATTTGTTCTTACTGTCTGAGACAGAAGTATATGAATATATGTTGATATTGCACTTAAATAATGCTTTGGAAAAAAATTAGTAACTTTTGCAAGCCTATACTGCTATGGGAAATTTCAGCACAGATTTTAGGCTATGTTTACTCAAGTTGCAAAGGATCTTAAATGCAGTTGGGGGCATGACAAGTGTAGCTAGAAATGGAAAGTGTTTCCTTAATAGTTTCCAATTAATCAAACTTATTCTCATATTTTATTGCCTTTTCACTTGTAAAATGTAAATTCTTAAATCAGAAACTGCAATTTCTTAAATTCAGAAAAATTGAGGTGGAATTTTTTTGGAGTTGTGTGGGTTGTTTGTTTGTTGTTTGTTTTTTGTTAATATTTGTCATTTGTGAAAACTGGAAAACTTACATGTTGCACACTAAACTAAGACATTCCCTTCTTAATTCTGAATCCTCCTGATGATACCTAATAAGATCCTATCAGTCAACTTTTGAACTGACTGTTCCGCTATCTAGAAACTGGAGTGATGATTTCAAAAAAGGTTTGGGTATTTTGTCATAAAGGTTTTGGGTATTTTGTCTCATTTTCTCAATTTATCAGTAGCAGTTAAACATTTAATTCTTCCTTCATTTCATATATAAAATACTTTTACAGTCTGTTTTGAGTCTTCCATCTTAATTTGGATAAGATCGTTTCTTTCCCTACCCAAATTGTTGTTTTCCAAAAGTTTAATTGCACAAAAAATAGTGCCAGCAAAAATTTGTTATTCAGTTCTCTTCTTGATGTCCTTTGTTACCTGTTACTAGACAGAATGTGAAACTTCACAGACGTTTTTGTGTTAAATGTCAGAGAAAATACAGTACTAATTTTTTTTTTTTTTTTGATGGTTCTTCTGTTGATTGCTATCTCATGTCCTTCATTAAAAATTAAGTATATTGTCCTTTTAAAAGAGACTCTTAGACTAAAACTGGATCTTGAACTTCGCTTCATGTTATTGTCATCAATATGAGCCAAAGAGAGCAGAGGGCTGCTGCGACTGCAGAGGAAACATTTTGTGTGGACATTTCATATTCCCTGTTCCCTTAAAACACATTTTATTTTTCTTTTGATCTCTTTATAGACGTTAGAAAGAAATCATGCCTCCTCTGTCTTTCTCTGTATTTCTCATCCTTGTAGTATCATCTATTTTTTTTTAATTTAATTAATTCCCTGATTGTTGTCATCTTTCCTAATTTGAAAATGCCTTCATTCATTGCCCTTCTACATGGTAAGGAAATTCTCATCTCGAAGTGACATTATGCAAATAATTAATGATTAGAGCATGGATCTATTATTTCAACCACTCTGCAAACCAGCCTATCATTTAGATCCACTGTGATCATAAAAAGTAGAATAGCTGATTCAGTATCTGCCATTGCAGCCAGTATTGACAAAACAACTTGTCTGACTAGGACAATTCTATCTGTTCTTGTGGCTACACAAACACGATTCGCAGTAAGAATCTCAGGTGAGCCCTATCTTTAGGTGATTCTTCATGATCCTTCCTAGAACTGCATAAATCAGCCTTACTTGTGCTCAAGACTTAATGTTCAAGCTGAGTGAGTGTAATTATTTTGACCTCTCATTTATTTTGGACCTGAGATGAGTTAAACAAAACCACTGGCAGTACTTAAGCTGTTTCAGAACCATCAGTTTATAAAGTGGAGCACCATAATATTTAAATTACTCCTTCCTTTGACACATGCTAAAGCTTTCCCTGAATAGATATGTCTGTGCAGACAAAAATATTTTCACCAGTTCACAGTGATGTTAGAATGATATTTCTTTCCTTCTTTTCATATTTCAAGAAAAAATGCTGTCAGTTACATATGAAGTTAAAAAAGCACAGTCTTCCGAGGAAAAAAAAAAAGTGAAAATGCTTAGGGGACTCACTTACAAGAGAAAAGCTCCCCTAACCTAGTTAATGATGAGTTAGGTGAGAGGGTGTTATGAGAGCATTGTCCCAGAGCCAGCAAGTGTTAGGCAAATTAATTGGTTGGTGGTTAGGGGAAAGTAAAATACTTTTAGGACTGGTTAAAAAGGAAATGAATTGTTGTGTACTACTCATTGCTGGCTTCACACAATGATGGGAATCCAATCCGTGCATTCCTATGATCCTCAAAGTGTCCAGGAAATTTTTCAAATTAAAGATGTGGTGGTTGTAAGGCTCTGGAATCCTCTCACTGAGTCCCTCAAAGGAGCTTTCAGGGATTTATATATGTGCCCTGAGTTAGATGCAGGGAAGGAATACCAACAAGATACTCCTCAAGAGTCAAAACAACAAAAACTTAACTGTCAAACTTGAGAAAATCAGGGAACTTTAGAAAAAGTCTAAAGCAACATTGAATCAATATAAAGCATTTGACAAAATGTTAATTTAGCAAGCTCTAAGGCCATTCAATTTAACGAATTTCAACCCATCTGATTTTAATTTACTCAGAAATAAATAATATGTATGTATATATATTATATATGTAGTTCAAACTGCAAGAATAAAAGTTAAAATGTATTTCTCAATTATACTTGAAACAGTATCTTTTAATACTAAGACCATTAACATTCAACTAACTTATGAACTTGATTTATACAAGTTTAAAAATATTCTACATACTTACACAGATACGTGCTGCCTTTTCAAGTCTTGGACTCACTTGTTCATCCTTAGCTACACTAGTAACAAATGGGGGTTCCTTAACTCTAATACATGTGTTAAAGCAGGAAGTCCAATTGTTATTTAATTACCCGTATCTCGACTTATAATTAGTGTCCTGCCCATAAAGTTACAATTGTTATTTTCTGGCCAAATCAGTGTGTTGAAAATCGGCAAGAAGTACTTAGCAGTAGGCAAAAAGCTGGTGTGCTGTCAACACTGAGGCACAATTCCAGAGCACAGTACCATGCATTATCCTTCTTGTTTATGTACTCTCCTTTATATAAAAGTTAAATTTATCACTATTAATTTTCAGAGGAATATCTTGGCAACTTGTATATTGTTAGAAGATATTATTATTTCGCTGGGCTTTGAGATGTCACCTGCCTTCTGCAGTTGTGCAGGACTTTCAGGTGCACTGCATACCTTACAATAACGTAAAAAGATATTCCTGTCACTATAAAGAGGAGGAAAAAGATATTCCTGTCACTATAAAGAGGAGGAAAAAAAGAGTAATTTTTGTAACATATGAAGCCATTATCCAATATCGCAGTTATTTGCAGTTCTGAAGAGGAATGGCTGGGATTCCTTCCTCTACACTTAGGGAGATTTCACTAAGTGGTGTCTGTGCAGGGACAAGTAGTAGCTGGGAGCTATAGGAGCAGGTAGAGAAGAACTCATGACTGGCAAAGCCAACAACAGTCAGGACCTTCAGAACAGAAAGCTTAACAACTTAATAACTAAGAGAGGAATGGGAATGTGTTATTTTTACCATAAGTGTGTCGGGCGAGAAATAGTAACAAGTTTGAAAAACTATAGAATTAAAACTCGTATTTGTTCAGGTGGATAAGAAATGCTATAAAAATGTCTAAACTGAAAATTAGAATTTGATTTCCAACAGATAAGCCAGTGTAGACCAAGAAGGACTTTCCAGAAAATGTTTATACATGTGATATGAGCTTAAATATTTTTATGTTGGAATAGGATAGGCAAGTATCTAGTCAACTTTTGGTCATGTGTTGTTTTGATAGATATTCGGAACTGCCCAGCAGCTTCTGAAAGTAGAAAACATGGAGATGTTTATATATTGGCTTTCAGGAAACCATAAAAAAATGAGTAAGTTTGTTTTTTACTAAAACTGGATAAAATCTGTAGGCTTACTAGTAGGCTTTGTTGCTACAGCTACAAGTCAAGTATTAATGATGGTTGGTGAAGAGCTAGGGTGTCATTAATACTGCAGTAATCATCATCTGCTTGGTGTTACTATAAATGATGCCCTTATAATGCATAGGAGAACATTTCCTGCAAAATAGATATAAACTCTCAGATCCCTTGGAATACAGATTTTTTCATAACATAGTGCAGACTGCATTCTTGTTCATGAACTACTGAGCTGTTTACACGTGGGTCTGTTTTTTGGGTAAGTAAAAACTATCATTATCAGCAGAGTGCTGTCCTAGGATTGAGAAAACCTTGTACCTAGTGTCTCTTTATTAAACTCCTTTCAACTGTACTGCCTTTTGCAAAATCCTTTGTTTATATAGTTGTGGCATTTTTTCCCTGTATTAGAGCTTGGGGATAAAATTGCGTGTTTTGACTTTGACTAAGCCTAATAAAACTGAAGTAAGAAAATCTTGTTTAGAATTTTGAATGATTGCAGGGCAAAATTTGCATAGCTCTTGTATATTCTAGTGAATACACAGACACCATCTGTTGAGAATGATAGCCATATGGTGAACTATTTATAGAAAATGTTTATATTCATTGTGTTGTTGATTATCTAGATATCCAGAAAACGCACTTTTAAAATCTAGTTTATCAACGCGTGGAAAAAATTTTTATGTGGTTTTGAAACTGAAAAGAATGTCAACAAACTGCATGTGTTTTGTTGTCTGTCAAAGATTTTTTATAAAACTTTACAAAAGCCTAAATCTGAGAAATGAGTGAAAAAAACTCCAGGGTATTAAAAGGTAGGAAGTTCTCTAACAATTTTCGTTGTAGAAGAAACAAATGATGGAAGAGCAGTTACTGACATGATGCCAAGACAGAGAGTTTATCTGCATGGCAGAGAGCAGCAGTCTTATGTCTAGTGTACTTCTAGGTATA